CAGAGCGCCAAAGCATAAACATTCTATCAACATTACATTACAATAAAGTACTGGTATAATGAAACATCCTATCAAACAGCGAACACAAATAAGAAGTCTGTCCATCATCAGAGAAAGAATTATATTCCGGAACATAAAAATAGGAAAGCGAAAAAGCAATCAAGCAAAATGTCTTTTTTTTTTTTTTAAATGAGAGGCTGTTTTGTACAGGATATAATGACTTTCCAGACATGACCCAATTAGCACAAAACACTGGAGTATGAGATATAGTGCCCTGGGTTTCTATCTAAACGTAGCATTTCGTTTGAAGCAGTTACTCTTAGTGAGTTCGACATTCAGGCAAATATAGCTTAAGTGACTGTAATATGTATGGCAGTCCCTAATCTGAAGAGAATTTTCCATTGAGATCATCCTACCTATTCAGGCTGCTTAAAGACCGAATGGTACCGTTAGTTTCACGTGGTGAAAGTGTGCAGAGGACGGTCGCCTCGCCAAAAGTTACGCACTTAAGTCAGCTATATCATCTGTGTCTCTATACAAATTGCGAACGTACGTGGTCGAAGCATGTTAATAAATTGCAGATAGATGTTCCCGTACATTCCCATAGGTACGCATGATTGATACGGTTGATTTGTTGTTGTCATCAGTGTCTGTCTACGATGCTTGTCGTTTGTCCAGATTAAGAGAGCAAAGAGTCCGAAAACATTCAGCTTAAGCAGCCCCTGGTGCTACCGAATGTACATACTTTTTTTTCGAGTTTCGTTAAAGCCCGGATTGTTCAAATCCTCGCGCCTCTTGTTATCATTGCGCTGTCGCCTCCCTGTTTTCTTATTTTGCGCTTACAGTTTCCTTTATGCCTGTAAGCGCGACATATGAAAATTCGCTTCATTTAAGCTTTTTGTCAGTCGTCGAGCGGTTCCTATGGAACGGTTGGGGTGAAGACTAAGGCCGTTTCGATTGTTTTATCCGCTGTGGTAATTAAATTATGAGAGTTGTCTTAAGTTGTGCCAGCACGTGCGTGCCCGTAGTCTAACTGCAAAGGAAGATCAGATAGGAAGAACTACCAACACTTAGTTGTTGTACATCAATTGAAATACATTTATTCAATCGTAAGCCGTGTTATTATCTTCCGATATACTGTGATATTAATATATATCTTTATTCTTATACATATATAATAGTTGCTATAATGATTTTTACTTGTAGCAGAAATACTTTACGTACATTGACGTTGCGCTATTATTACTGTAGTTATTCTCTGTTTGTGGTCTCAGTGATTATATGATTTGATAGAATACATGTATGTTTATACATTGACTCGGTCACGCTCGGCAAACTTCTCAGAATGTAAAGGTGCCCTCTGTAAAAAAATATGCTCCTACACCTTTTCTTGCCATATCTCCTGTTTTCATCTATACATTCAAGGGCTTGAATGGGCTAATGTAACCCCCAACTACCGCCGAAGGCAAGACGTTAGAGGCGGATGCAATGGGCTGTGCTATACGCAGGCACCATCTGAGCGATTTCCACATGTAGCGCTCTTCGTCGCGCGACAAAATGGCACTGAAAGTAGTAAGCATTTTCTTTTCTGTTGATAGCCACAGTAACACGGGACTCGGATCCTGCTTATCTATCATGGCTGTACGTAGGTTTGGTGTGTATGTGTGTGTCTTCATGTAAGAATATCCGTAAGTGCTGAACACGAAAAGATCCAAAACTGAGGATAGACTACTCGTATCTGGTACATTTCGTATGTACGATTTTTCTCTCGTACAAGCAGCAGCAGTAACAACGTTAGCAGTAAGCATCAAGACAGCAGAAAAAGGTACATAATTTCGTGTTACTGCACATTATATCCTCATATATAGAACAGGTCATCGCATAATATTAAAAACACATCGAAACTAGTGGAAACGACCCAGCTACTACAGTGCTCTGATAAAATTGTGTTTTGCCAGATTTTGAGATACCAGTACTATTTGTTACAGATATTTTGAAAGAAAAATAGAAATCATCAGAATGATGAGAAAAGTTTATTAGCGGTATTAACATTGGATAATGTTTTACTCTATTGAGGGTTTTCAAGACAAGTCATCTTGCATACTAGGCCGAAGGCCACACTTCTGCAATGCAACATTTTAAACACAAGCAGTTTCTGGAGTCGTTTTGTCAAGTCAAGTACGAGCAATAGCGGCAAATGACACAATCTGGATGAGGGGGCATCAAAGAATCAATGCAATACCTACAGCGGCATCGGCGTACACAAACTACATAGTCAATTGGGTGCTCAGAACATTTTGATTAAGAATGAAGAACACCTTGGTCGCACACACATTATAAATACGTGAGGGGAAATAGCAGAATTCACTATTTTGTTCAAAGGGCTGCGAACGTTTATTGCCAAAGGAAATAGTAATTATTATCATACAAAACCTGTTTCTTTTTTGAAAGAGGAACAGAAGAAACCGTTTTCTCGTCGGGCAAAAATGATGAGTCTCGTTCTCTCAGAATTGCGTAGCGCGCTTAGGGCAATCGAAGTAAGATACGTACACCTTGACAATTACTTTACGACAATTGCACGGTCAGCCCGGAAGAACCAGAGGATTAAAAACGGGTCCATAATTGCTTAAACGTGTAAATCATTCAGCAAACAGAAAAACGCATAGTATTGATATTATGATGTCCCAAATGCTTTTCATTTGATTTATCAAGCGCTCTTTTCACGGCCGCCATGCATAAAAGTTGCCAGCTTTCTTATTTTTGGCTAGTTCTATTGTGCGCACCAACACATATTAACTACAGTGTAATATACTTGCCAATACAATGATAACAATAGTAATGATAAAATGTCGTCTGCTGGCTTGCTGTTCTACCTAGGACAACCTACAAAGCAACTGAATACTATCGACAAACAATCGCATGTAGCTTTTGCACGAGCAGTTCCAGCGACTTACGCTCACCGAAAGAGAACGGATACGCTATTCGAAACACCTGCTTGGAATACAGTAGCATCACAGAAAGGCAGTTGGCAAACGGCCGGAGGAAACAACGTTGTCAGCATCGAGGTCGCAATGAGGAAGCGATGTACGGGAACTGTGGCCAATAATTATTAATAAACTTTCAGATTTTTCCTATTGTTCTTCGATGCTCGTGCCATCGCGTTGTGCACACGATGTCAAGATTTGACATTGACCATAAGGCAGCAGGCCGCGAATTGATCGATGGAAGTGCGACGACGTTTCTTGATGGTGATGCTGAACGGATCTGGGCCTTGTCAACACCTTTGCCGGATGGTGAATCGGCCTCGTACGCTCTGAACGAAGACTCCCGCTACAGTTGGTGGTCGTTGTTAGTGTTTGTGTGTTGGACAACGTTTGCCTATATGTATAGCTAGCGGGCAGGAACCAGTATGGCCCAACCGTTGTGGACATGTTATGCCAGTGGTTATTATGGCCGTCATCATAGTTGCATTCGCATAGCCATTCGATGCTAAAGCTTCTAATGTTCGTGCTGATGACGCTGCAGCTTCGGACGAGAAGGACGGAAACTGTGTATATAATAGAAAATGGATTGGATACACTGCAATTAGTATTGTTATAATGTGTTTCATTTTTTTACAGCTTGGCAGTTTCGTTGCAGAGGGTGTATTCGGTGGGCATCGAGGGCACGTCGGTTCCAGTCGCCACAGAGGAACGCGGAGTTGTTACTGAAAAACAAAACGTGGTCAGTTGTGACCCAGCGTCTGAACAAGTCGGCGAAGTGATACTGGCATGAAGTTAGCTAAGAAGTAGCACGCGGTTATACAACATTTCAATGTAACTTTTTCTATTAGCGCTGCTTTAAGCTTCAGTCTGGAATAACTCGTAATAACAATCGTAATTTTCGTTTCGTCAATTTGGATAGTAACATTCAAGCTAGGACCGAACTAATTGTGGTGAAAAAACTAACCAAAACTTGATCACAAAGTACCCTATCTATCTATCTACATACGTTTGTCTGCATTAGGCAAGAGGCGACGCAGCGACGCTGGGCAAAGTACTATTTGTGAAAGGAAGCGTTCAATCCTTCTTCGAAGTTCAGTAGGAGCTGCCAGAGTGTAGATAACTGGATTGAGAGCTGAGTTGATCGGCAGGATGAATACTACCACCCACGCATACACGTCCGCTATATTAGAGTCAGACGAGGGGCATGTTAACTATACTAATAAAATTGTCTAGTCAATGCTTCTGCTCCGACGACAAAAAGTAAAATTATCAATAATATCATATCAAAATATCATAAATCAACACATGTATCAAGCGAACGTGCCATTTGCGAAGGGCTCCGTGTTCGCAGCGGTTCTAATTTAAATTTTTCATTTTTAAAAATTAACTACTTAATTCAATTCATGTCAATTTGCATTTATTTATGTTGATCCTTTTTTAATCATTGATTAAGTGAAGCTTGTTACTCGCTTTCGAGAGCCTATCGATTGTACACAGACGTATCTGGACACGCGTGTAAGCAGAATGGCTACAAAAGCCTATCGTCGACATTTAACGTATGCAGTACACCGGAGGCGCATCTTTTTCGCTAAACATGGATAGTTGTCCCTATTGGAAAAAATCAAAACATTTTTCTATACACAATTCAAAAAGATGAGGTCTCAAATACGATAGAACAATGAAATAAACAGAAAACTGTAGGTTCTTTATTATGCCCATACATACACATAATTTCACATGCTTCCTTCACATCTCTGTATGTACACCGTGCAAAAACTTAATTGCGAGAACTACGTTTGGTTTTTTATTGTGTTATTTTATAGTATCGATTTCTGAAGTACCCTGTCATTGTGTAGAATCCCAAAAATGAAAATTTGTCGAGTGAATAAATGCCGGAAGGGACGTACCGAAACTTATCTTAATATGAGGCTCAGTTTCACTTCTCCTGACAGGTCCATAGCAGAGCAGATGTATATTATAGTCATTCTGTTTTTACTTGCGTTTATTCAAACTCATTCCAGTAATAACAGTATTGGCAGCTCTTTACGATGGGCAGCGCATCAAGCTTTCTTCTTAATACTGACCAAGCCATGTATTTATCGAAGAAAAATTCGGTGGCCTCTAATCTTGCAAGAACTTAAAATAATATTTAATATGTTAAGGCTTCCCTTAGTGACACGTATCCGACACATATAGAAAATTATAGGAAGGGGAAAACCAAAGCAAATCTAAGTCGACGAGCCGTGATAGGTAGCGATTTGCAGACACTTTGACATTGTCCGACCATTTTCAACGCGATGAAGGAGATGAGAAAACGATTCTCTGTACAGACGAGGTCGACGTTGTCGCATTAGTATTAACCGACGCAATCGGTGCCTGCAGCGTCCATGTCGGACTGAAAGGCGGGCACTAAAGGAAGCCCATAGAAGAGTAGGACTTAAAGCGTAGGCTATTTCGTACTCTATCCTGCATCGTTCGACTAATCATATAAGCTCGTTCTCCGTGTTGCAATAACTAAAAGCAACGCTTTCTGGTGTATGAGGAAATAATTTTTCCCGTTACAGCTGACGTCAAATTAAAGTGACATCTTTTGCAGTATCGGTCAAACTGATGTAGACTCTAAACGGCAAAAAGGTTAGAGAAACAGGTTTAAAAAAAAACATTGAAGGCTCGAACTTCCATCAGACAAGTGCGTACTGACTCAACATTGAAATGTAATTGTTCTGAAGCTAATGTCGACAGTTGGAAGTTTCAGCGAATGGAGAGCGGTTATTAAGCTTAGACAGCAGCTCTAACAATCAAGCCCGGGCTCTGTTTTGTCCTTACGTACAGCCCACTGAATAAGAGCTATTAGGCTAACAGAATAAAGCGCGCCAGCGCGATCACAACTACCCTGGCGCTCCGGCTTAGCCGGTTGCGCATGAATACTATAATTTATTCAACAAGAGTAGCCACTGCAAAGGAAAACTTTTCAGGCTACATGTATAGATTTCCGGAAGAAAAAGTATACGCTCAAGGACAAAACAAACAACATTATTGCTTCTGTTTAAAAGGAGGTTCGTATGGATTTCGGAAGCAAAGAACGAGCAAGGAGATCCACATTGCAGAGGGCAGACGAAGGCTGTTATGGAGTAGCTTTCTTTTTCTCCTTGTTACCTCTCGGGGGTTATTGTCAGTGGCAGTGTTGTTGTAACAGCCGAGCGGTGTTTGTCGTAGTTGGCTGAAGGATCACCCCGTGCGCCTGAGAGGGCAATAGGTAAAGAATGAACGGAATCAGCAAACAGAGAATAGGAGAAGAGAAAACAAATGTAGCCGAAAATCAGAGGGACTGCACGTTCCGACATGAGGCGCGAGCAACTGGCAGTTACTCGCATCACACCTACATTAATGTGCCTCCCTTGCTTTTTTCTTGTACACAGTTTCGGTTAAAGACTTTTTTCTCTCGTCTTTCTGTCTGCTTAGTTGGAAAGATACGTCTCGATGCGGCTGTTGCTGACGCAAGTAATTCCTGCGCCAAAAGATGGCGCCACGTAGCACACTTTGACTCAGCCAGCGTTTGCCTAAGCACCTATACAATTCAGCTGCATTAAATAGCCCTATGGTGCTGCACGCGACTCACATTATTTACAGGAAACTTACTGACTGGAAAAATGAGAAAGGAATACTATAAAAATACCTTGGAGTTAGAAGAACATTAGCTACTCGGTGGAAACACGGCGAAGAACAAGTTTATGGGATAAATTAGCGTGTTTGTGTCTAGATGAACAACCTATGGAAGCTGAGGAAAGAGCCTGTAAGATTTTGCCCTCTTTGCTTTATACTGACTGATTTTGTAATTATGACCTCGAAGGGCTGAAGAACGGCCAAAACGAGCGGCGTAGTTGCTGTAACTTAGACGAATGGTATGTCTTTTTTTTGGTTTTTCTTCGCTAGCTCTTTATATTTCTGCACCGAATTAGGAAGCTTAGAAGGTATTGACAGATACGAAGTTACCTCTGCTGAACCTGTTGCCCAACAGACCGGCACGACAGCTAATTGATCGCCACAGGATCCTGAAGTTACATCAATTGAAGGTATGTACATATTAGGCACAGAAAAATTATTAAGACATCCATCGTAGTGGCATACGGTGGAATTAATAATACATGGGGTTTTTCAACGAATAATTGAACCCCTAGCCTTAGAGCCATCCACGACGAAACGTAGTAGGACGGAAGTGATCCGGAAGTAAGTGGTGAAGACGTAGCTATTAGACTATGTCCTACATTTAAACAAGCCGAAATGACCCCGAGGCATGGTATCCTTGGTATACCAGTCAGCTATCCTGTATAGGGTACGATAGCACCACCGGGGAGCGATGCGCTGAACGTAGTTTGTTCGAAATGCGATCAGCCAAGCGAAGCGCCTGGACAGTATCAGACATCCAACTTGAGCCGACGCCGGAAGAGCGTCATCTGCCACGGTAGGCAGCTCTGCTGCCGCAGAAGACTTCATTTTCATTTCATTTCGATGACATCGTCCAGATCACAGTAGCCCCAGATCGGAGAATTTAATTTTTTGGAGAATATAATAAAAGTTGGTCTAGTTCAGAAAAATGCGGCGTTGTTTTTCTTCCTGTGGAAAACAAGCTATACTATTAAATGACAGGCTGAAAGCTATACAAACGCGATAGATAGTAGATATATGGTAGAATCATGAGTGACATACCGAGTATGTTGCCATTTTTGGGAGCCTTTGATTGACAGAGCCAAATTTCCTTTGACCAACTTGTTAATGATCGACGAAGGCACGTTAATTAGAAAATCAGGTGTTTGAATCGGATGTACGTGTCATAAGAGCAAAGAACACAAGATTCATCCATATAACTATTACGAACCATATGCATTTGACTGAAATTACCGAAATGCTATTTAGCACCCGAAAGTGACATACGCTTACATACCTCATGATGACTCGCTTGCCTAATAAGATGTCGCAACAACTTGTAAACCAACTATTATCAGAGCCTCTGTAGAAAAGAAGTGGGCCTTGAGTCTCTAACTTAATGAGTCAAAGACAAATCATTCCAGACAATCGACGTCTGACCTGCCACCCAAGACGAACTATAAGAAGTTGAAAAGGCAGTTTGACGAATCTCATACCCTGCTATGTGCCAACACCATCTATACGTACATGCACATATTGTGCGTAAACAACAGACTGAGGGAACAGATAACGTATAAAATAACTTATTTTTTGCACTTGTTTTTTCGACCCGATTCTTATTTTAGCTACAGAAACGTCCACTTTGATTCAGTATCGTTAACGTTCTCTAACTTACGCGAGATCTTCACTTTGCAGAGTGCAGCGAGCTTAATGGCAATAATTGGTATCCAGCATAAACAGTCCGTCAGAACAATGAGAAAGAACCGGAACGCAAGCACTGAGTCCTCGCGTCGTTTCAGCGTCACCGGCCGCGCGTGTTGTCGATCTCCCCGAATTATGACAAACATCCACGCATACAACAGCGAGATTAGCAGCATCTGTAATAATTTTACATACGAAAAAGCCGAAAATTTCATTAGTTTCTTGGAAACTATCCATATCTGTATATATAGATCAATAATAAAGGAAAAATGAACAAAACCGTAGTCTCAATGTACATCCAGAGAAATAGAAATCATACACTTCATACGAACAGGCACCTGACGACTCATTCTCCTGGCAACTTTCAGACCTTGGCAAAAATAATCCGATATCTTTTGATGAACATATTCTACAAAGTTCGAGCATAGCTGTTTCGATGGGAAACCACTCCTTTTTTGTCGAATTTTTTCGTATTTTTTACTTAATACATTATTCGTGCCGTTACAAAAAAAAAAAATGAATAGACCAGTTGTGTACCTGTCTGTTCCGTCTGTGGGTGCCTCGTTGTATGGCTCCCATATTTTACAAAGTCAGCTTACTGCCATATGCAAACAACGATGGCGTACTGGCTAGACGATTGGTAATCGAGAGTGACGGCAATTTATTACGGCATGGATTGTTAAAGTATAACTAAGCAATTGCTGCATGTTTAATTCCCCGTAGACTAATCTAACCGTCTATTGACCATAGTTGCAAGCATAGCACCGTGTTACACGCAGCAACTCAACCATTTTACTTCATTTATTTATACTTCATCGATGAGCAGTTTACCGATCTATGCTACTCTGATGACGAACTCAATATATTACATAGATGACGTCCTACATTGCCTTGAAACACATAGGCACCTAAGATTTAGCGTACTGTTAGATCCATTCACGTGTAAGCGCAGAGAATTCTGGCGGAGAGAAACGAAATATCGCTATTTGGAGCCGAAATGTGTAACATCATCTATTCATAGTCTCTTCTACATGTACACCGAGCTAAAGTGATAAAATCCACCGAAAAATTACTCGTGCTTTTCCGTCGTACATGCACGCGCAAGTCTTACTCCCTCGTAAAAGTTATCGCTTAAAATTGAAGCTCAGAAATAGAATACTGGATTAGTTATTGACCGTGAAGTTAAAGAATGACAGCTGTTTCGGCCCTTTCAATAGGTCGGAGAACGTTGCTTTTTTTGTCCCACGTGGTTGACATCTGTCGATGTCTGCAGGAGGCGAGTTATTTATATTTTTCCATCCTGGCACCGTACAGTAAAGGGTGCGCAAGCTTAATGTTACTATATGTGACTGGGCGCGATGTAAGCCGTGTGTATTACGCTAACAGGATGGACCCTTTCAGACGTGCTGGCAAGTGCGCTGGAGGCTCATTTCGCTAGTACTCATGCCACTACTAACGACAGCGAATTTCTCGACAAAAATTTCCCATTTGGACAAGAAAACACACCCCAGTGCGATATAAGAGCATACAGATGACACTGTCAGGTTATCAGAAAGATCGCCTCAAGTTCCACTCTTTCAAATATTAGTCTGTGTAACTTAACAATGTGTCTAACCTACACAAATCAGATTTGTCCGTGGTCCAACCTGCGGCGCAGCGACGTTCCGAGTTGTTCCGAGTCTCGTTGTTCCAGCTATTTTAACTTGTAGTTACCATAATCGACAAAGCTAATTTGGGAATAGATTTTTAAAACCAAGAATCTGTGATAAAATGCCATTAAATTATTATGATTTTATCATGGTGATACAAACGTACAAGATAATTGGCAATTCAATTAAGTCCTTTTAATTGTGGTCTGTTGTGCGCTAAATACCCACAGATGGGAACTTCTCGAACCCCAGATGCCGGTGGATCGGCACCGGTAGTTAAAACAACGATGATGTGCACTTCACAGATATTTCCTGACAGCTGTTGAAATAAGCAGCTTCTTTTGCTACTTTATCTTTACTTTTGCAATATCGCGGAGTGGATCCGTAAAGTTTCTCCTAGCGTTCTTCTACGATTGGGCATACTTTGTTGGCAAACTCGCTTAAGTCCATTTAGCGGTCGTCAGCGTTATTGGCGTTCAATACAATTGTTCCCAGAGAGTCGATATCCATTCCAATAATCACCTCGGCAGAAGAAATAACAAGTTCAATGCATCACCGCTACCACCAGTACAGCGTCGTATCGTTGCTGCGCTGCTTCTACAAATATATTCTCGAACAGAGCCCGAATATATTGTTTAAGGTGAACTAGATAAAAATGTACTCGTCTTTTATCCTACACAGTGACAAAAAAATCGTTTAGCCAAGGTCAATTTTTTAAAAACTTTTCCACCTCGGCCCCCCTTCTCAGTTGATTCTCTGTCTGGGAGCCCTTTGACCTCACACTTTGAGCCATTCTCCCTCCTTTATAGAGTGAACTAAAAAAAAAGCACACCCAGAGAATAGCGCGGCAAAGATTTTCATTCTGCACTCTTCATGCTGCCTGCTTCCCCACGAAAAAAATAGAAGGCAGATTGATTTCTAATTGTGGTTTCTGTGCCAGGGGTTTGGAGGGCTGGCAGTAGTGAGGAAAAGGCGGCCTGAAAAACGAAAGTCGATTGCCGCCCTAGATTGGTGGCGGCGAGTTAGTTGTTCGGCTGCTTTCTCAAAGCAGCACAGGGTAATGGGTAGAAAAAAAGGTGCCGTTGAACGGGAAGCTGATTGAGCAGGTCATTCTATTGCCCATATTTCCCTCCCTAATCAGTCAGACTGGACTGGCCTGGTCTGGCGCTTCTAGTTTCCCCGGAGACCGTTCCTTCGCTCGCTTTGCGTCACGATTATGTTATCAGTTTTCTGCTACAGAGATAATTACTCACGCGCAAGCGCACCTAGCAGCCGCAAATGAAAAACGGACGCAGAACCAGGACAGGGCGAGGAGGAAGGAGAAAAATAGTATGTCTCAGAAGGGCAGTAGAGTATAGTAGAACATACTGATAATTTCAAATTATGAGACAAAAATTCCCATTGGCGAATACACACAGTGGCATACATTGACATACCGTTAATGCATAAATATTGGTAAAAACTACTAGCTTTAGATACAAGCATTGACCAAAGTAAAAATAACAATATCTAACTTATACGGCATTATTATTATTATTGCAGAAAATGAACAGATAAATGATACTTTGAGCCCTAAAATCCAACAGACAAACTAAAACGATGAAAAAACGCTGGAGTAATGAAAATACGCACATTTCAATTCTTCAGAATCAGCCAAACGGAAATACAAAAATAAAAGTTGTAAACAAAATGGATTTCTAGATTGCAAAAGTCTATAAGAGATCCTCAAGTCTGGAGATCAAAACTAATAATATAATAATAATAAAATTCGAAGAGTGGTTTCTAGTAACGTGCAATTATCGTACGCTATACTAACCGCAGCGAGGTTGATTCCGAGGAAGACAAGTGCTGAGTACTGCCATCCTAGCGTAAATGGATCATCGATGTGTAGTGGAAAACATAATCCGTTTGACGAGTAAAATGAAGGCTGGGGCCAATGCAGAACCGGGTAGAGCGCCAAAAGTAAACCTGTTGCCCAAACGCCTGCCACGCACCAGCGGGCAACTGTTAATGTAACAACACGTACGTTTGTTTTTATGCACCTATTAGAGACAAAAAAAAAAAAAAAACAATTCATAAACGTCTTTGATATAAAGCACTTTGGCGCATATTTTTTTTAGACCGTAACCGGAGAAGCAAAATGCTCTAACTTTTGGTCAACTAAGTTGTAAAAAGTACATTTTGATAGGAAACTCTCTTTAAGCGACTCTTATTTTTCTAAAAGTCTCTCATCTCTAGAAATTTCTATCTAAGAAATAAAGGTAGCGCTTAAAAACAAAGAATGTATTTATCTTGGAAATGTCCCTGTTCATTTGTCTATATACATTTTAAAAAGTTCCCCAAAAGCAATCGTTCGCTTAATACGAGGAAAAATGAGACACCGTGAGTAAAAATACCTTGAGGGTCTCCGTTGTTATTGTTCAAGTTATCATTCGCGATCGCGTAGGCGGTAATACCGCTAATTGTGCTATTGACATTCAATGAAATACCGTTTGGATAAATGGTCTTCATTTATTCAGCTGAAGAGGCTTTCTAGAGAGAGATTAAAGATGACAATTTTCCACTAACAAAAACTAGCGTCGTCTATAAATTACCCTTTGCAAAAAGTGATCAAACAGGTGTACGTACATTGAAGTACTATTCTGTTTGCGGGATGATGTATTTTCATAAAGGCAATGCGCAGAGCTCATGAATTCTCGATTAGGAGAGGACAAGGACGTTCTTTCACATTCTTTTAACTGATAATCCGTTTTAGGCGTATGAGTTCTTACAGTCGGCTTTACCTCTGCCGATTAGGGTACGATCTATCGTTTCGGAATAATCTGTTAGTTAATGTAATGGACGTGTGCCCCATGATAACAAAATGCGTAAACACTGTTTTTATCCATAGGAAATTACAAATCTGCAAAAAGCGCTAATGCTACTATGACACAGATCACTAGCAAACAACGTACACAGTAGGTAATTTTTCTTACGATGTTCATATACGCTTATACTACGGTGAAGCTTGTTCAGTATTTGGGGCACCCGTATGTACCATTTCATCGTTATTACCAACATTACTAACAATACCGATATGGTGCTCGCGCAGAGACGTCGTCCAGTCCAAGAGAGCAACGACACGCAAGCTGACAATGTCTGACAAAACGAAAACATTAGCCCCACTCCACCATATCCCTATTGGAACTAACGTGCAGGCTGCTTGACTTTACCATTATGTGATTGAATAGGGACACAAAGCGAGATTGAGGCTAATTGACAATCTTACGATTGTCTGGATATAATTTATGCGTTTGACTCTTCGTCCGTCTTTGTTCGACCATCTCACTATCTATCTTATTATTCCGAAGCGTTCAATAGTGGGTGAAGTCAGTTTATTCGGCGATTTTTCGTCATCGACTTATAGACAGTAAATTTACGACCGTGTTCCGTGTCTCGCGTTTGTTTTCGCTCACTCCATCAGAAAAAAAAGCGTGAATGAGTTGCGTTACGTCACGTCTTTGTCTTTCTCGTGTTGAAAGCGTTTTATTTAAATTCACCTTCTGCATGTGAAAATGCGGCTAGCTCGAGCACACTTCACACAATCAGTGAGAACTCGTGTTGGAGCGGCCGGTCATCACGTTACATAGACGCTTGCGGCAACTACGACCCCCCATCCTCGAAGCTGTAATCGCTAATAGTAATAACAGACGGAGCACAGCATCATCCCTGACAAACAAAATACCACGAACCAATGGCAGGTTGAACGAGGCTGGCGAAAGAAGCAAATGGTTCTGACCGCGCTATAGCTAACATTACAGTGGTTTAGCTACGACAATCACGACCATGACGGACGTTTAAGTCGGCCGTGGTGATGATAACGACATTATTGTTGTTATTGGTATCCATTTCCCAAGAAATAAACGCGGGGATAATCAACGGGGCCCGAAGGAGGCCAAGCCTGAGTTGAGGAAGTCAGGCTTACCGGGAATGGGAAAGGAATAGAGGGAAACAGACTTACACACCAATGTCCTCCTCTAATGGAGAGTAGCGAGCAACGACTCATGCTATCTTTCTTCCATGTTCTCGTTCGTTTCATCCTTCTCATCCTCCGCCTAATCTTCGAATTTTCTATCGATGAGCAGAAAAAGCCGTCATACCACACCAGATGGTGGTATAACAACAGTAGCAGGAACACCGATATCTTGTCCTCTGCCTGTTCCATCCCTTACTCTCCATGCAAACAACTATAGATTTAGTTACCCTTTTAGTTAGTCTAATCTGGCTGTTCCGTTCAGCCTTTCGGGCCTTTAGCTAGATCTCCGTGTATGGGGACATTAACCGAGAAAAAAGACGACCGATGGCAAGACACTGCGCTCGTCTTCGTTCGATTACAAATGCAAGCTCTTGAAGGCAAAAACGAGATAGAAAGACGGCCGGCCACACAGACTCGATCTCGGCTTAATTTTTTTCTGATGGGTACCGCTGCTTGTCTTTTCGATGCCTGCGATGTGACGGTTCGATTCAGCCGTATCGAGAGTGAACGATGGGCGATTTAATGGTTACGGTTCAACTGTGGCTGTATGATAAAATAATATGAGTGAAGAAAACACGTGTCAATTGGAATTGTACGTTTTTTAATAACGCTGCTAAGGCTTGCCGAAAAAATTTATATTGCACAAATCTCCTACAGATTTGCAAGTAATACATACATTAAAATAAATCTCACCCATTTCACATACAAAAACATGTGGGTGCTTATATTCTGTAGTAATAGTCAGGTTTTTATTTGCGCCAGCAAAAAAAAACGATACAAGTAAGATTGCAGTCTGTCAGCATTTCTGATATATCGTGTACTCTTATAAAACTATAAACAATGAGATGTTTCTCTAAAAGCGTCCCGTTAAGATCCCCTACTGTCGAGTTGTGTCGCAGATGTCCGGCACCCACTGAGAATTGGCATACTATTAAAAGCAAGTTCTAGATCGATATGCTGCTGTTCTCAAAAAAACACGTAGGCTAAGGTTCGTTCCTTCATGAGCCTGAAGTATATGACAAGCATGTGACAATAAGAGGAACTATCGGAAGTTGGAATCGACGGACGCTATTTAATGTGTATGATTTATTATGTACTTTAGATGGTAGGGCACGCTTAGATACTAACCGATACCGTTCGATTGTAATGAGTGACAATATAAGGACAGACACCTCGCAGCTCATCATGGCCAAGAGTCCGACTGCTGTGCACCTCCAGCTCGTCATCCATTGACGCGCATGACGATTATATTCATCGCGAAACGCCACATCCAATGTACCCACGATCAAAAGGTACACGCCCATAAGAAAGTCGGCGACTAGAAAAAAATTATCAATAAAGAAAAATACAAAGATAACAAGTTAGACGTTGAAGACACAGGTTGAAGTACCACTTTAAAACATAATCAGTAGGGCAGCGTTAATTATTGAACTCATACGAAGTACAAGTCTTTGTTTAGTTACGCGGAAGTTCCGCTTAACTATGAGAAATGTTTGTGTAGAAATGATAGTTAAAATGAAAGTAATAACAGCCGTTCAAAAATGTATTCAGACGTCCAGTATCCAAACGACAGATAATGACACTGTTTTTCAGTTTTTTTTCTTTTAACATAGTTAGGTGTGCTGTGTCATAACAGCCACTCGATCCTGGTACTAAAGGCAGGCAACTTAGTACCATGGACTACATGGCCGCAAACGTAAGTATGTTAAAAATAATTATCTATGTTTTTTTGCATCGGACTTTTTAGCGAGATGTAGAAAAACCCCAGTACCCTGTTGCCCATGATGTCGCGAGAATCATTCACGAACATTTCACATTCAAAGATAGAACCAGTAAATAAAGGAATGATATTCATGCTGGCCCAGTTCACGTGTACGGTGACCGCATATAGGGGAACTAAGTATACATAGTTGAAAAAAAAACACTGAATTTTATCCGGTCACTCTAATTATCTTGGAAACTCTAAGACATTTTTATTTAAAACCTTGATGACATAACCATTTTTTTCTGATATATTACGAGGGAAAAGAAAATAACAAAATGGTCGTGATCTTAAACCTCGACATTTGGTTTTGAGTGTAAGCTTTTCTAATGATACGATATTTGAACGAAAGGAAAAATACAGAACGGCGTAGCTTCTTAAAGCGTCCTATGTGAAACGTCTTTAAAAAGGAACAATCAGGTCAGCGTATCTTTTTGAGCAGATTTCATCACTAACAAATTATTTAGTCCCGAGCTTATCAGGGCATTCTAAAATTTCATTGTAAACCAAAGCTGTTCGAGCAGTTAGGTAGAACAGCGAGCACCGCATTCGGTCAAACAAAATGCCTTATCGACGAGCAGCCGGAACATCCAGAATATACTACATAAACTACGCATCATACATCCGCTCTGTCGTAAGGGCCCATATTGCAAGGTACATATCGTGGCCATTGGAAATCGCCCGCCATGTCACCCAACCCAACCGTGGCGTCTGCTTTCCTATGGTAGATGCAAGTCAATATACAGTTCCGCGTTCTCGCGTCTATCTACGGACACACTCGGCTCTGAGAGCCTTTAGCCAAACTCTTTCGACCTTTAAAGCATAGATATTACAGACACGCGATGTTCCGCAAGCACTGTAGTACTGCCCAAGGCTCAGGGTGTCGAGTAACGACAGCATGATGAAGTGCATGCAATCAGCAACCCGCTGAATCCTTATGTACCACCCGCGAATAGCGCCCTCCTTGTACCCGGCCACATTCTGCTACCTCGTAGTGGACATTCGCAGTGCCAACATAAACAACGGGCGTCTACAGATAGCAGGCATAGCTGCCATATGTCTGTTCCTATCCTCACATTGTCAGATTTCGGTAATCACTTGGACAGACACTTGTGGTAAAGAGCAAAGCTGCGCGTCTACAATGAAAAGGAAGACGAACAGGCTTTCTCCCTATTCTATTCTACTTACAGAGGTCTCGTCAACACTCCACTGTTGTCTGGCAGCCGTAGCATCACCGACAGCGTTTGCAGGAAACGCTTGTCATAGCTCCGCCCGTCACCGAACATCAAGAACAACAAGTCTGTATATATATAGTATGAAAATAAAAGAGTGTAGAAAGACGCATTTCTTAAGGGACAAGCAATAGCTTATAAAATGGCGGAAGAGAAAATGACCACACGGGGATAAAGACGAAAACACAGATGGAGCCAGTAAAACAATAACAGCATCGGCGGCAGCAACAGCATATGATCTTCTAACAACAGCGAGCGGCGAGGAACAAAGCATACTGCCCTGTGAGACGTGACGAGACGCCACGCATCGAACAGAAAGGCTTCAAATCTTCTTATTTGTTAGATGTCCTGTGTAGGACACGAGGATGACGAAGTAGGGAAAGACGAGGACGAAGCGAAAAGGCGGCAACTATTTCGAGACAAATGTCCACAAACCCTGTCGGAACTTCTGGCAGAGCACTTCAACCGTACAGCCTTCTTGCTTAGCATCGACAGGCTCAGCATCCCTTCAGCAGAGGGCTGCCTATAACACTGACTGTTTGGGCCTACAAGTCTGCCATGGTCGAGTGGTACGACAGGGGTCCCCCAACAAGTAGTACAGTTGACACAGGCTCTCGACCCCAATTCACTAGCCATGATGTTCCACTCGGCTTTCCTCTCGTAAATGTTGTTTAGGCGCTAGACTGTCAGTATGAACCGTTCTTGCGCTAGTCGTGTATATGTAGGTGAGAGTGAGGGCTGATATTGCAAGAGCGTCAAGCGATGCACGTTCCTCTTGCTTTCACGCACCATCCCGAAACGTTTTCGTATTTGATAATGGCGTCCGGTAGTGGACAGCAACTCAACAATACCTACTACGTTATCGTTTCTAGTCATCTTCATACACAAGATACCTAGTTGGCATTAGCATAGTCAGCATTACTAGTGTGTGCAACGTTGTCAATGATAGGCACCGCAATTTTTTTCCTCTCTATCCTATTCCGTACATAAGCATCCCTTTTAAATAGCTATGATAGCTGCTGTTAATGCCCACATACTCGAACCCGTAAAACACAGCACGTCCCTGATTGGACTTGGATTTAGACCGGCATGTTACGTAGTCGAGGGCGTGTTCGTAGACACCGTCCACGTCCACGTACATGCGTATCGTATGTATCTAAGGGAGTTGTAACAGGGGAGAACGTAGCTGGAAACCCGCGCACATAATGCTTCCTTGTTAAGTGATATATGTGGTTAGTTCCGCAAAAGAAACAACCCAAGAACACTATACATTTTCCCCATTTTGCGATTTGCCTCCATATCGCTTTGCTGGTTTCCTATCATTCACCTATATACGTGTCGCCTCTTAGCAAGAGTATACTATGTGGCGGCCGCTTAAATGGCTGAACGACGGATCGCCTTTGTCGGGGGCTGATTAACGTGTTACATCTTTCATCACCTTGTGCACACAGCGTGAAAGCAAAGCTTACTACTGCGTTTGAAGCTAAAAGGGCTACAAAGAGTATCAAATTGGTATTCAGTTTGGCTCCAACTATTGATGCGCTTGTGGTGAGATCTAGTACGTACTTCATTACTATACATTTCAGTATTATTCGCACCGGCAATCTACTTAAATGGCACCGTACATATATATTTACTTGTGATTGTACATCGCCTATTCTACAGAGCAATTCTTTGGCTCATTATTGTTAAGCAGAGAGTACAGCGTATCGCTTGCTCCGGGAAGTGAATCTTTTACGCAAAAGGGTGCGTTGAGACCTATCCCACATGGGCGATGGCGAAACAAACCTAAAGCATTTTAAGCCTAGCTTTTACTTGAGATTTTTGACCGTTTGGTAGCTATAGCCTGAGGCGTTCAGCCTGCAACTGACGCCGACGAATCACTTCACTCTGAATGCGACAATCATGAAATGTTTGTATAACCTTCGGTTTCCAAATAAACTGTCCACTTACTGTGAACGTCTAGAAGCATTAAAAGTTAACAGATGCATTGCCAAAGGAGTGTGAAATGATGATAACGTTTTGCCGAACTCTCCGCGCAATCCTCATCTATCTATCACGTGTGACGCTTCGATGTCGCCCCAGTTATCTAATAATAACGATTTTTTTAATTTCCTTTTTGTATGTGTCCTTTTTTTTTATCCCCATAGTGTTATCGGCTTTCCCTAGGACGGGCTCTTCTCAGTCAGTAATGGCGTTACCTATCGTTCAGCCTCACTGGCGTCCAAAGGCATACTCTGTAATTTTAAGGATCCTTGCCAAGGTTCCTAGTTGAACCACGGGTCGCGAACACTCTTCTGTTTTATGTCAATTTTTTTCCTAGGAGCATACGAGACATAACAGGTTTTCTTGCTTCTCGTATCCTTCTGTCTTCCATCGTCTAAGATTTCCATTTGTTTGGTGTCTTATGGTGACAGGTCCGTCCCATCTCTCCTGCTTCGAAATAGCAAAAAAAGCCATCTGGTTTCTTTTTCTTATATTTTCGTTTTTCGGCTCTAAGATAATACTACGCGTTACCGCAACGCGCATCACAGATTTTGATCATTATTAGCATCGTTATCGTTGTTGTTGCCGCGCCGCCCATCACGACGTTGGTTTTTCCGTAGCCTATTCCTTTTTTTACCTTGCTTTCTCTCTCTTATTCGACAACCTTTTCTTATTTCACCCTTTCACGCGCCTTTTAGGCAGTTGTATTTCCTTTTGCTGCATCTCTCTTCAGAAAAAGTCAGGCATCTTCTGCTGCACTGCCTGAACCCAACTTGTTTCCCCCTACTTGTAACGCTTTTTTTCACTATCGTTTGTGCCTTTTGTCTCCCTGGCCACTTTTTTTTCCTGCTGTCTGTCCTCGCGTTCTCGTGAGATGTCGCCGAGACCGGCAATCGCATCTTTAAGCCACAGCCGCTATCACTAGCCTCTTCAGGCTTTGCTAGCGCCATGCAACTCACCGATCTGTATTTCTTGTCTGCTTGGGTTCTCAAGTGCCATCAGTTCCACACCCTAATAACCCGCCATTCTTTCAAATTCTAGCCGTTAAAGCTTGACCCTGCTTTCTTTCTCCTTTCATGTCTGCCGGCTCGTTGAGGCCGATCCGTAGCTGAGCGTTGCTTCCTTCGCTTCAGACAAAGTTACGCACGCTTTTTTTTTTACTTCGATTTCATCCCACTCTCACCAATGAGGATCAGTAGCAACAGCCCTACAACTTTCGTACAAAGTCGTCCGGTGATTCGAACGGAAGTGATCTCCTCGCTTATTTCGACAGATCTTTCCTCCTGTTATTTGACTCCTGCTCGTCTGGCCTTCGTGCCACTCTTTCTTTCATATTGTGTTTGTTCTTGGTACCCTACCACAGTCGTGTTATTCGTATGTATAGCGAATCCGAGCCCATGACGACGCGGGCGCACAGCTACGAGTGAGGCCAGCTATAAAAAGAGGCAACCAATGATTCTGGCGTGTCTATCCGTGTTTTATGGGTTCGCTCCTGTTCGAGTCCAGTAATGGATAGACATTTCTATATATGCATATATATCTCATTAAAAGGTAAAGTAGAACTGGCTTGTTATTGAAAACAATCACTGAATTTTGCATGATGTGCACGGTAGATGCATGACCCCGTGCTGCTGAAGCTCACTCAAATATAGTTCAGACGTAATTGCCACTTGTTTGTATTCGTATCTTTGGTGGTTCTTGCGTGTGCAAATATATTTAACAATAGACTCAAACTTTCCAAAAATGGAGTGATTGATCTTTCAAACGTTTGCCTGATAAATTCTTGTTCAGACGGCTTAGCACGACGGGTGCTAAGTACTCCTTCTCGGAGAGTTAATACTCTAAGCTAATACATAATATATATAATATAACACTAAAAATACCGAAGTCGTTTGTTATATAAGAAGTTTATATTGAGTAGGCCTGCCATTAGCTACTAAGGAGTTCATCGACCGATACGAAACACACAGGCAAACAATGATGTTGAAGTGCATTTGTTGAAATTATTCAAGGTCGGTATATCGGAGCCTAGTAAACTACACCTTTTAAAGACTACTAGTTACTGCACATATTTACTGATAGCTAGATGCATGCCCAGCGACCCCCCATCGCTTAGGACACTCGTTGAAATTTGGTCGATGGCCGATACGTATTATTGTCTCATAGTAATTTGTTAAACCTATAGAAAAACTATTTTTTTCAACAGAAACTAATAAACAACCTACTTGATAAATTCTTGATGAAGAGCGATAGTACGCGATCTTCCTTTTTACTAATAACGCGCCAGGCAAACACGACACTGTTGGCCGCACAGGTAGATACAGCTACAACCCAGACGGACAAGCGAAGAATTGGCCAGACAAGTAGGTGCTCTGTCGACGATACCCCATCGGTCTTCGGGAAGCAGATCCTTACGTACGGCGCATAGCTACAGTATTGAAATTTTTTCAGGTAGCTGGAAACGTTGAGTCAGGGAGGACGTTCGCAGAACTTACGGGGTTAAATGCTGATATTGGATGTTATATCTCGAAATAAAGACTGAACAAGGCTTTGTTTAGTTGTCAAATTTGTCGTCTCAATGAAAGCGTAGAAACCTTGCAACGTTGTGGCGTTCACAGTTAGAACAACTGTGAACTACATAGACAAGCATTTACTTAAGTTAGCATCAGGCGTCCGGTAACCCTTAGCATGCTATCTAGGACATGGCGATATTTCGGCAAGTAAGTGACAAATTAAAATTGTTAGTAATAATTTAAAACGGTCACTTTGTGTGGTAAATTCCAACTTCGCAAAGATCGTTAACTTTTTGTAGATCTACACACAAGCTAACTGCATGGCTTTAGAGAAACTTTTCATATCCATTGCTTCTAAACGGCCAGAACAGTGGACCGTAAATGATAAGCAATTCTGTGTAGTGCCTCAAATTTGCCTTAGCTCCATAGAACTACGTGCACGAGTTGAAGCTGAACGGCTCATCTGTAAAGAAAAAACCTGCCCATATTCCCCTTAGATGAACATAAATGAACTCATAGGGTGCCATGCGAGAAGAAGCTGACCTCCTTGTTGGGGAGTAAAACAAATGCATATAGTTGTCACTATAGGAGTACTTCGATCCCGTTTTTTGCGCATGCCAGTAGGCGAAAAATGTCTCTGAGGCAATAGCTTGCATCGCGCTCCAAAAACAGCCCGAAATAAAGCCCCACAAAAGAGCAATCATCAGCACAATAGCTCAGATACATGCAACTGTTACACAGTGCTAACGTAGAAAACGTCGATTTAGACAATTTTCACTATCAGGATAAATTGGACGTGGAGAACCAGCTGTGTCAATTCTTTGGCTATGGCTAGACAAAGGCTTAACAGGTCTAATTGAACTTGCCCAAAAGGAAACTGGGTAACATTTGAAGAAATATAGAGTTTACTGGCTTTTGCATCAGCCATCATTCTAAATAATAGATCATCAAAGCGAATGGTCATTACAGTTTGGGCTATTCAATAAAAATGCATTATCGCATTGTACAGCAGAAACATGCTGATTTGTAAGCCGCAATGCGTACATGGCTGCAGCCGTTCTTAAACAGAGACGCGATCTGGTTGAAGGCTCTTTACCCCATGTTGATCAGTGTCTCGTTCTTCTCTCGTTGCCAAGAACAGAATCAATTAAAAAAATACGCTTTTGTGGTTAACTTAAGATCAATGTTGGCCCATTTCTTTCACTTAGAACTACATAGCAGGCGCAGAGAGGGAAGAGGAGGGCAGCTGGTTCGTTTTAGAGGGGTTTAGTTGGACAGATCGCATGAAACGTCAACAGATCGAGGCGGACGTCTAGGTCGCCCGAATTACGCAGCGGCAAGGGAATCAGAACAGAGTAAATACATAAATGATTGGGATGAATGTTGTATAGCTGGGAACATTTACTTTTACGTCTTTGTCGATATAAAGATAGTGGTGTGACAAAAGCCACAAGCGGTTAAAATTATAAAAATCGTAATGCTCTGTAGAAGCTAACGTGGAAAAACTCTCTAGAGCAACTTACAAAATAAAGAGAAACTAATGTTTTCAGACCATTTTTGTTATTACAAGTGTATACTAAATAGCTGTGAAGCAGACCGTGTACGTTACTGGTAAGATGGTTTCCTCAAGTAGGTTGCACGTAGTTATAGAAGGTTTCTATTTAATAACGTAAAACAGGACTTCAAATGCGCAATAAATGGTGAGTTTTCGTCCTTCGTATGATATCGTAGGCCGCTGTTTGCGAGACAGCAATAGGATACTAATTTAAAAGCACTTTTGTGATTTTTCCTACCCACTAAGATCAACGCCTTCTAATTGACGGCAACAAGTGAATAGGTATAGGCTAGTATTTGAGAACGTCCTGAAATCATGGCGTAGATTTACAAAACACGATACCGACAACAGAATTCGAGACACGTACGATCCAGTAGCTGATTTCACATAGAGGTTTCCCTTTAAATATTTGAGCAGAGCTTGAGACATCTCAAAATAGTCTGACGAAAGTGTTTATTTTAACATACATACATACAAATTTTGGTTTTTTGTTATTATTCCAGTGTTGAGTGCCTTAAGTGTCACAGCCGAAATTATGATATGCAACCTGCACATATCTTGGCTGATGCATTTGATTCGCTTGAAATTAGATGTTTTTTTTTTTTAATTTTTTTATCCATATTTATTATGATATCAGCCGCTATGGCAGAATTCAGCAAGAAATCTGTTACACGTCGGACATCGAGCTTTATACGTTATAGTATCCCGTCCCCGTGTTTTAATAGTAACATTACTATGAGGATACTTACATGAACTTCAGATCCTGCAGCTGATGGAAATGTGCCACGTCAATGTTCTCTAATTCAAGGCCGGAAAGATTTCTAACGAAAGAAGGCATTGTCAATAACTTTTGCTCTGTCATCTTCTAATGGTGAATGGTGAATTACTAGAATCACTATTAAACCCTTCCTTTTATACAGTTTCGTCTTTATTCCACCAAGAACGAAAGATTTAGCTCGACAGCTAACCGATCGGGATAAGAACAGCTTTTCCTCTAAAAGCTCTGTCCTTGTGGGCTTGAGTCTTCACGGAGTAACCCTGTGTCAGCTGTTTTCTTCTGATTTATACCTCAAACAAAGCAACACAAAACTCTTGACGAAACACCGATCGGCGTTATATTAAACTCATCTATTGATATGCAAAACGTTTGCTGTTTCGTTGAAACGAAACTTGAAGAACTTTATTAGACAACAAATCGCTAAGGTTCCACAAAGGCGTCAAATGGTGTGTATACGGAAAGGGGTACTTACAAGGAGGTGAGATTTCTATTGTGTACAAAAATATCAACATGCAAATAAGTTATCGGATTGTTGGCCAGGTTCCTGGAAAACAGAAACATAGATAATCAATCAGTTCATGAGCATTTGGTCAGAAATGTGGACAATGTCAATTTTTAATATGTAGTTCAACTTTAATTTGCTGTGAAGGTTAATAATAACTGCCTCGTGAAGGACAAGCTCAAAGTACTTACAAGTAGTTCCTATCTAACTGTCCTCTAATTCCGCTCTTAGCTTGAATGCGATATATATACCGCCATTCATTTATATCATAGCTTGTAAAATTCTGCGCACGACGAAAGAACGCTTGAGGTTGTATATCTCATACCTTGATGCGTTAAGACTTAATTCCCATTGAATTTGCCATAGCAGATTCCAAGACAAAGGAAACACAAACAGAAGAGTCTATTTCAATGTAGACAGCTTGTTAAAATACTAGTAACTGTCAACAGAATTCGGTTGATATTGCGGGTTACAAAGCGTTGGCATTTCCGTTGATAATAATCCTTCCTTTGCTCTTCTTTTAAATTGGATTTTTTATTTCCCTTTGTTCCTACTTCTGGTATGCGGTGGGGCAAACGGGGACTTTAAAGAATAAAACGTTTAGATGTATGCAAAACGTTTAAGAGTGCACACCGTATGAAGCACCCGGTTTTAGGTTTCGTCATTATACGAATAAGAAACGATGGCTGAGCCTGAAAGGAAAATCACTTCAGCACTTAACACCGTATATGAGACTGTCGAGCCTGAGAGGTGCGTGGATAGCGTATGGGGATGGAATGAAATTATGTCACTCTTAAAATTATTTTCTTTCATCCTGCCGGTACGATGATAGACGGCTAGTGCCGATGCAGGCTTTCCCTAGATGGTAATTAACTACTGGCTGCGCTTACCTCGCCCTGACAAAATGTAAAGCGGACAGTAGCAGTGAAGCAGGACGCTAAGGCAGACAACAGCGTTTCGAGGTAACGACCAGAGATATATATCTTCGGTTAGGAAGGACCCACCACAAGCCAAAAGTTGCAAAAGGCAGCCTTACTCACAGGTAAAATGGACCTCTCGGGTGAAACGAAATGCAAAACAGGCAGCAGTTTGAAATGTGTAAACGTCAAACATTGTCTTATCGTTGGTTTATTAATAGACGTACATGATGCGTTTCCTGTTATATCGGAGAAAGTTAGTCATTAACGTAAGTTTTTGATTAAGTTTACTCTAATATGTATGGACGAGTATAAAAGAATGGTTACTCACAGTGTACTGAGACTTCGCAGTTTTCTGAAGATCTCTGGCGAAAGATATGTAATCTCATTGCCACTCAGATCTCTGAAAATAATTAAGAACGTAATAATAAAACGGTTTACTACAATTAACAGATGCGACCCGTTCCTGGCTGTCAGCCTCTAAGTAGATGCGACAATCTCCAGAGAAATAAATGTTTTATGATTACTTCTCCTATTAGTAAGCTGTGACAAAGGCAATGGGGCATTTTTACTCAGCCTTCCAATCTAGCCGCGTAGGAATTGATGAGCGATCGTAGGACGATGCGTGCATACATATCACTTAGTGTAGTCGGTCAAAAATATATCTAAACGGAAATATATGCGCACTCAAAGACAGATATTGATCAGCTTCTTTGTGATGTTGACTGAAAAACGCCTTTACACAATAAGTTGGCGCACAATAATGGGACCCCGGAAATGTCATACAAGGCAGACCTTTTACTATTGCTTTGGATATCCGATTTGGAGCGATTCCGATAATAGAAACGTATAATAGAAGAGAGATATTTGGTTATCGTACCTGATACTTCAGTTTTATGGTATCTAAGGGCCTGTTTTACAAGACATATCTAAAATATGCCAACCTCCTCTCTTAAGACTCTGCCCAGCCAGAATGCTTTGCCCCATTTTTTTTACCAATAAACCCACGGATTGAGCTGGGTTAAGTTCTCTGCCCTGGAATAAATGTAACAATCGACATCGCCTACGCAGAGTAAACCTGCTACTATTTGCTCTGGAACATTTTATTGACGACGAAATGGCTAGGTTAATCGCCATAGTCGTCATTTGCTTTCAACACAAATTCCAGACTGCACTAGAAAGATGTGCGGTTTTTACTGTCATCAGCGACCAACAAGACTGAAGAACTACCCAAATGTTAATTTAAAGTGTTGACTTTCATGCGATTCGAATCTTCTGTGCCCTGCAGAAGAACCTTGATCTTCTCTGAGTTTTGCCTGATGCATATGGCCCTCATTGTTAGTATCGACCACGATTAATGCTTTATGGCCATAACTTCTCCCCCTGCGTACGAAGATAAGGCAAGGGGGCTAAACAGAGTGTCGGTATGTCCATATGATCTAATAAGAAACAAGGACGCCGATCGAAGTGTTTTTGCCAAAGTTTGTTGTTCTCTGCTGTTTTGCAACAATCACAAGGCAAGTTTTCATCTCAGGAATGGCTCCCTACAGAGTAAGGAGTAAGAAGAAAGCACGCAGTTATTGATGGACCAAAAAATATATTGGCTGGCTTGACGCGCCACTGCAGGGATTCGGCCGCTCGCAGTTGAGCTACTTTGTAATTATAGTTGTCTTTTTGCAGAAAGGCTCGACGTGGAAAGGCCAGGATAGATATTTAGTAATGGTTGAAAGATAGCGGCGTGGTTGCATAAGCACAGGGATTTTCGGGTAGGCCATGGGGTGGCTGTAGAGTCATAAAAGATGCGTGTGAACAAGCAGGTAATCCCATATGTAATGTTATCGCTATAGTATCTCTACTGAACCTAATGATATGACGAAGTCATATACAAGTCATTAACATAAGAAAGTTCCTGTGACGGTTCGATGACGATGAGTTTGTCCATGACTTTTTGGGTCACGTGTAAGGTCTATGTTAAACACTGGGAGTGATAATAATAAATTGCGCTGGCAAATCTGCCAGTAAAAAAGCGCATTGATTTCAATGAGCTTTATGGGATTGAAGCTGAGGGAGGGGGTAAAGGGAAAGACACAACGGCTGTATCGGGTGGCGGCCGTTGAACGTAACGTGGCCTAATGGAGCTTTAAAATGTAAAACTACAAGCACAACTTAGAACAGAATTGACCTTATTGGCAGTAGCTAATTATTTTTGAATGGCCTTCAACGTATAGAAATAGATTCGAACGTTTCGTGTCCACTTTCGAGTGGCGAAACAAACTAGTATCACGAGATTTATATAGAATAATGAATCAAAAAGTAATGGGCTTTGTTGAATACCGTTTCGTAATCAGTATAAAACAGGCGCTTGGATTCTACATTTATAGAAAAAAAAAAGCTCTTTTAAGCAAGGCGTTAAGTGTACAGGACTTTTTGGGATCATTAACTTTAGCAATACAACTAGTTCCTACGTAGGTCTTTAAGAAGCAAAATGTATTCTAAAAGCTTTTAATAAGCCGACGTATTTTTCTCGATTTGAAAATTGATTCAAATATTTTTGCGTCCAAAATGTGGACTTATAAGTTTTTTTTTTTTCTTTTAAATAAAACGAGGGCTGGGTATGAATAGCACTAATAAACAATCCGGTACGCATGGCCATAACTGATTAAGTCTACATAGGATAACCGAAAACGGTATTAGCCGTTTACGCACTCACATGTTCCACTTCAAAGATGACCATTTACTAGGTAAATGAGAAAATTCCGTGAGCAATTATGTTTTATATTTTAGTAGATTTCGAATGGGCCTAGAAGCGTTTCAATTGTATTTTCGAGAGAGTCCTGAAGCAGGTTATGCAAGGGGCTTCTAATTTTCCTGCATATGAGCGTACTGGTTACACTTAGCGTCCTGTTGGCAACTAAGTAGTAAATTAACTGTAAACCTCAACATATAGTAACAGTTCAAGCTGATTATTTTCTCCGAAATCACAACTTAAAATTAGGCAGTATTTTCTACAAGGAACAGTAGTTTTTGATGTTTTTCTTAGATATGGCAAAGACAATTCCTTTAGTAATAAAATTGTCCTGGTTGCGCCGATGCATAAATCTATATATATTTCAACTTCATGAAAAGCTTCACTACATCTCTGGGTGCACTTCTTGAGTTTTATGACAATTATTCTATATGGTAACGCAGACTTATTTAATAATCCTGCTCTTATCGAGGCGACTTACCTAGCTGTCTACTTCGAAATCTCCAAAAATACTGGCAATCCCGTTGTGGTCATATGGGTCAACTTTGCCTCACTCAATTATGAGGAATACATCTGCCCAATTAGCAAAATATTGCTACTAAATATTTTTAATAATAATAATAATAAAGTATAATAGGCTAACCTTCATAGCTAGTTTTTACCGTATACGTGTCACCACATTGAAGGAAAGTTTGAATATGAATTTATATAGAGAATCTCATCATATTTTCTACAGATAACATCGTAGATAACCACTGACTTGTATGAACAACTTACAACTCGACGAGTCTGGCATTGTGTTGGAAGACGTCCGAATGAAGCGCACGAATTCGATTGTCCCTCAAATTTCTGTAACGGCAATATTAAAATATAACCGTAGCAATCAATTTCCTCTATAATTAATAGACTCACAGATGATATTAATTAAAAAAATAGGTTTGAGAGTACTGCATAAATCAATAACCAAGGTACCTAAATAGGGGTAAAACGGTGTGTATTGAAAAATCGAATACATTTATGGAAATTACAAAAAAAATTCGAGGCAATTTCCTGCCAATTGCAAAAAGCTGCTAGGTTAAGCAGCGAAGCGTCCCAGCCATGCTTTATCCGTTTGAAATGTAATGTACTTTTACCTACAATTCTCAAATACAAATTTACATCCTCTGTTCTCTAATAGATGCCGCAGCTTCTGGTAGCTGTGAAATAACATGAAATTCGCAAATCTGCGCAGCCATTGCCTAAAAGACTAGGTGAGCACATTCTAATATCTCACCTGTCTTATATATATAACCGAAGAGGTTTGCCCACCTACGTGCACATTGGTTCTATAGACATTTATGGTCGTTCGGCGTGCAGTGTCTCGCGTTCCAAGTTCGATATCGTTGGGAAGCATTCCATTCGACGACTGGCTTCTAGCACAGTACGAATGCTCGGATTCGAACCAAGACCACCATGTGTCCTTCAAGTTTAGGAGGCAAACACTCTACCGACTACGCTATCAAAAGGGCAAATCATTCAGCGTCAGCCCATATATCCCGAGCCGAAACGCGCCGTTCGATCAGTTCCCAAATGAAAAAATGAATGTCCTGCTGCAGAATCTACGCAAACAGACATGAGTCGGTTGTGAAGTTTCTGTCAAATTACATTATATGCGCTGCTTGCCACTGAATGAACCACGTTTCTCGTGTTTTTTGCCCACGTGGCTTTTGGCTCTACTTTTGTGGTGCATTGGACAGCTCTCCCTAATTTCTTAGCATATTCGATAGACTAGGAAGTGTATTTAAACATTGCGAATCTACTATCCTCTCCGATAACGATACGTATGGGCACATTATCGGTGAGCAATAGGGACACAGCCAGAAAACCGCTCCTGAGGCGCTGATAGGTGTAAGCCTATTTGAGGTCACATGGCTCTTTTTCCAAATGAAGTAAGTGAGCATCGTCTAGATTAACAGAGACCCCGATATCTAACATATCCCAATTCCAAATTAATTAATTTGGCTAATACTTTTTTGCCTTTATCATATGGTTTCATTTCCAACACCCTGAAAAGCTTTCTTGGGTACCGTTGAGTATCTCAAACGTTGGCATAACTATTATATTTCTGGGCCTTGATCACAACAATATCCAGTTCTTGCCACAATTACGTACCATTTACTTTTTAGCAATATTGTCGATTTCTGTAGAAAAGCACTGCTTATCTAGGTGATTTATTAAACACCTTAATTAGGCTTTTTAGCAGCAAACTTGTTCATTAGAACGATTTATAAACGGGTTTATTAGTCTAGTATATTAGGAGCTCAACTCTTTTCATTATAGCAAGAATATAGTTCCGATTCCAAAACACTTATATTCCAGTACGACCTTAACCCTAATCTGGTTTCTCACAACCCACACTGGCCGCTAAACAACCAATCCCAATAGAAGACAATTCAGCACGACCAGCCCCAGCGCAACAAAACTGACAATAAGTCAAGTAACAATAACGGCTCAACCAGAGAACAACAACCTCGCAGTATTTCGTTATGACGTGATGGCGGTGTAAAGGCGAAGCATACTACTGCTTAGTCTTAATGGCGGTGGCTAGGGTAGACGGACCACGTTTGGAAATAGAGCAACAGAAATAGGACAATATTGGTCAAATGGAGGGGAGGCCTGAACGATCCTGAGCTGACTCAAAGAAAACAGACATTCTCAGTTAAGCCAGTTTCGGAGACGTCGCGAGTATATGTTGTCTTTCCCCAACCCATTAAGGTTCATCGGCTTCATTGTCTACCATAAATATGGGACTATAGAGTGAGGCGGTGTGAAGTGAAGTTGGGGCGGTAAGCACCACGAACCTCCTAAGAAAACGAAAAAGCCAAACGACAGAGACAATCTACGAGGAAAACAGGGGCAGCTGAGCTGCGACTGGTAGTGCAGCGCGCCGACAATGACAAATCCCTCATGTAGACCTCGAGCCGCGTTTCAAGCGGGTTTTCACACGCGCAAGGAAGCCTAGAGTCTCCCGCTCCTCGTAGACTCGGCGTTGCTAGCAGGATTGCAAATCTTCCGTAAGAAACTAACATTACGATCACAGCTGCCCCAAGCTGAATACCAAAATGTTGTGAACAATCATAGAGCATTTTTCCGGTACACGTTATCTTGTGTTCACCTAATTCGCGTAGAAATGCCGCAATCGTGTGAAAATATGCCTGATAGATTCAGCTCAAATCTATAGAAAGGGAGGGGTTTAAAGAAACAGGGAAGTCATTGCAAAACACGGTGTACGACATAGTGTTAAATGAACATACTGACACAATAGTGCATCAGATGACTCATCCATATCTGTGAGGCAAGGTAGAATACTGACCTACCTGTAACTGGTCATTTAATACGTGACTGCTAAATGTGACAACTAGTACCATTCTGGGTAGTAATGTGACTATTCTGACTTGGAATAACAAAATATAAAAGCTGCGGCCAAAACCAACCAAGCTATAACCCCCAAGACAGCGAAACTGTAGAGAGAAATAGTGAACTTAAGGGAACGACCACAGTGTCCTATCGTCCTTAGAGGCGCACTTTCTTCACAGGAGGAACGAGCGAGGGGGGTGATAGAATTAAATTTAAAAACTACGACTTGAAAAACATGTATTATTGGATATACTGGAAAGGCGGTAACCTGTCCAGAAATGTTATTTCCAGATTTGACGCTTCCTCCGCACTGTATTCCCTATGTCGTTATGGTTTCCTTATGTTTTTCCCTAGACTCCCCTAAAATCAGACTTGGTAAGCTTTTGTACTACCAGCAGCGCTTCGAGATCCTGCTTCTTTTTTCTTTATGAGAGGTCTACTTATCATGCAAGGCGAGGCAAATTACAAGGTAGCGCAATTCAAAGACAACGTATGAATAGAGGGCCAAGAATCGGGCAATTGTCATTTTTGGGTGCATGACCGGTAACGCCCGAGTGCGTGACTGGACCAAACTCCTAAAGGTATCGCGGCTACTAGTTTGCCGATAGTATAACAGAAGATATCTACTCGGATACGCATTTTACCCAAGTTGTTTGACAATATTTTGGCCTCTATAAAACCAATACGAGCATGTTCCTTCAAGCTAAAGGTGTTTTTTTATGGTACGCCTGTGGAATAGGTCGACCATCTCAAATTAACTAAACCTATAGGCGGAACTGAACAACGTTGGCAAACGTCTCGTGTATCTGCCAAAAAATGACAGACACACGAAACGTTCAAGAACGCGAGATTTCAAGAGGATGAAACACTTATTTTGTATTGTTCATTGAACGCCAGTAAGTTATTTTATTTACACGTGCGCAAGGGAACCCCCCACCTTTTGAAATACATTTCTGATTTATATTTATCAAATAAGTTATTTTATCGACCCGATAGACTATTTAGTCTTGCAATTAGGGCGTTTTCTATACTATATTTAAACAATGTTTTTTTGCACGCCACTGTAAAATATAGTCTGTTTATATGAGAAAAATACAGCAAGATCCAGGCGTCTCGTCGCGTCTTGGCTAAGCTAAGAAGAATGCAGGTTGAGAAAAAGCCCAAGCGCGCAACACTTTATAGCTATTTCTTGAAAGCATGTGGGGCACCGTGAACGACCCATTTCAGTCACCATCCTTTGTTTTCCGTGAAGAAAAGCTAGCCAAGTTTTCCCTAGGTGAGAAACAAACGTTCGATGATTGTTTTGATCTGAAGCCATCGCTGACTCTCCCGAAAAAAAAGCATTTATGCGCTCTAAGTATTCTAACAGATGACAATTAAACATACGCCTTTACTATAAACTGTAGTTTCAGTGACGGAAAACGACGTAGTACTGTAAATATTTTCGGTAACAACTTAATCAGATGTTAATAGCTAACTATTCGTTTTCTTTGGCCTGCATGAACCTTACCGCTCTCAGATTTGCCCCTTTCGTATAGAATCGCATAATAACAGAGTGGTTTGAGGAGCGTAGTTTACTGCCACAAATCAGAAAGTATCTTGCGTGGCAGCAGGTAGTTTGCTTAGAAAATTTTGCCCTGCGGAAGGAATTCCTTTCCGTATGGACGAAGCGTGGTGGTTGGATCAAGCATATGAGTAAACTATATACGCCACATCGGCTGTGATAAGATAAGCGTGAACAAAAAGGTACCTGCGTAGCGTTTGCACGGTAACCGTAAAAATTATAAAAAGTGTAAATAATATGCGAAAAGCAATTGGCCTTTTAATGGTGATACAGTGGTAACGTGTTTGTAAAGACATATGGTGACCTGAGTGCGAATCAAGAGGTGTGTCGCGAGCCTATTTGTTTCCTATTGGGAGCCAGTCAACCACTGAAAGGTACGGTAGTGTGTGCTGTAGATCGTTGAAACCAGCAAGCACATGTGCGCAGAATAAGGATTTCGGAAAATTCTGCACAAACCTACTATAGACCCGTAAGCTACACTGGCTCTAGTACTAGCAACACTCAGAAGACCCATTTAATATGCTAATGTGGTACAGAAAGCTAAAGACGAATCAATACATTAAAAACAATCAACGTGTCGACGGAAGAGGGTGCACCTGAGCTACCACAATACAAATATTTAATATATATAACAAAAAAAAAATCTCTGGCGAGAAACAAATCAATAGTTTCTTGCCGGAGATTTTCATTTTATTTCGTCTCTTTAGCGCTTCGTGATAAACTTGACTGCTTGAGGACTCAGCTCAAAAAGGTCTAGGTTGCCTCTAATCCCGTCATCTAATGTTTCGTCGGCCATTACATCTTTGTTGCTTCCTCAACGCCACGTTATCAACAACGCGCGACGAAAGGGAAGAGCTCGTGGCAGAGAATTGAAAGCTTTTTTTCATAGCTTCTAGCTGATAGGACAGCCGTTGGAACAATGGTGAGGTGGCTGCTGGAGGAAAAGTAGGAGAGGGAATAGGCGGATGACAAACCTGATGTTCCGCCATGTGTAATCTCCTGTGGGACCCCTTAATCAGAACTACTACTGCCACAGCCTGGCGCATTTTATCGTCTATTCCAGTCATGACCTAATGCCGGTCAGCTAGCCTAGTGCGAACTAAGTCATTCGAACCTGCTATCGCATAGGGCAGGCTTCCTCTGCTGGCACAGCAACTGACCGCCACTACAGCTTCAGCTTCGGGATACTTGGGTCGATCTCACGTGTTCATTCATTCGAGAGTTTCTTCCGTACTCCGTTGGTTTCTCTCTCTTTCGATCGCTCGTCCCATTCGCATCTTTTCCACTCTTCTATATTTTGTTATCCTCGAAGTCGAATACTGGTAACGAACCCGCGCGAGCCACCAAGTCCATACGCCCCAGCAGATTCTGTGCGAACCAGCTTCTTGACCCACTGCAATCTCCTTCTGCTGCTTGTCGATTCCCAAAAGGTTTGGACTGAGTTTTTATAGGAAAGAGCATTGCGGCGAAGTAGGGGACACGTATCAGGGTATACAGAAGTGAGTAAACTCCCCACGCCTCGCGTTGGCATTCGTGCTCCCCCTGCACATATTATTAAGCATTGATGACGAAGCGCAGCAATAGTCAGAAGTGAGAGGGAAATATGGGTTTACGGCAGGGATTTTTATTGCTATAACTCTTGCAAAGTGCTGCTGTTGCACATTCAGATCTGGTCCTTCGCGAATACGAGGGCCCTACACAGGGCCTTATATATTGTGTATACTAAAGTGTATATAATCACTAATGATTCATTTCTAGTCAGTTCAATTAGACTCCTAGTCTACGGCCAATAATCAATTGAACGGTCGGCAAGCAATTAATGACAAGTAAACAGTACTGGCCACTAGGGGCACATTTGCATCCGCGTGCTTACGCTAACTGTGTTATTATATATTATACTAAGGAGAAATGAATGGACTGCCAAATAAATCATCGTAAAAGAGTAGAAGCAAAAAAGACGCGCTGGGGTTCGTGGTCCGCGTACAAAAATTAGATCGATTCAGGATAGATGTTCACTATTTACTGCTTTATATTAGGGTGGAATCCATTTGTGTATGTCAGCTTACATTGTGAGTTTTACGCATGTTATAAACGTTTTGTCTTAGTAAAAACATTTTGTCTATTTCGTTTGTATTTTAAATATTTTCAGTTTTTTTTTATTTCATTTTCGAAGTGTTAGGTTTGGCCGAACTTTAGAAGAGTAAAATTGTTCTGCCTCTCGGAAATATATAGGAAACACTGTATTCATTAATATACATAAAGACATCTCTAGGTAAAAAAGACCCCCATTTTTATTATTATTAAAAAAGCCATAGTGTATAATATGCTGAAGGTCATCAAATATAGCACCAACATTATACGAAAGCGGTTTATATCGGTAAACTTATATGTATATAGTGGAACCATAGTATCTGATGCACAGGGACCTTTCGCATTTCTTCTAATATAGTTTGTACCATTAAGTCAAGTACAGTCAAATATTTAACGAGCTCATTTTAAAGAGAACATCTAACTTTTTATCTAAAAGCATCCAATCAGCTGCAATTTCGAAAAATTGTACAAAATTGTGTTAGATATTCGAAGCACTTGGGACGTCAGCTTTCGCAGCACAAGTCCAACGGCACGTAACCACCGAAACGGGCACTCATGACCAAATGATTCGGCTTGAGGCCACAGTAAGTAGTGCTTGGACTACTTCCAAAAACTCGACGTTTATTTAAGCTAAGTCCTAAACCTCTTGGGAAAAATAACTCCGTGGAAAAATCTTTCCGCCGATGAAGACACATGCGGCTTAAATCAGCGACTTGCACGAAAAGGGAAAAAAAGCCTCATTTTTTCGTTTTCCGTTCCCATAGAAGTCACCGGTTTATGTGGTGCATCAATGACAGACAAAAATCGTTTTCAATAGTTGAATCTATACATCCACTATTTATGTATCTATAAACACTACTTACGGATATCGTTCTGTTTCCAGTAAATCGATTAGTCGTGACGGTTGTGTCAAACATAATTCACTCGATACTGTAAACCCTCGAAGATTAATGTTCTAATCTTGAATTGCGAACAGATTTGTTACTCAAATAAACCTGTTAGTTTAAATATTGAGTTTTTATCAGTCGTTCTATCTAAATTGTGGCTTTTACCATATTCAAAAGCTCTCCTTTTACATTTAATGAAACTTCCTCAGATACTCAACCAGCGAGCGATAAGTTAAGTTTCGTAATTAAATCGCTACCGCCATAACCTAACCATGAAAATGATCTGAATGGCTAATAAGCAACTTACATCATTGAATTTTTCCTGGCCACCTTTCCTGCAAGTAGGACACGATGGTCCTATAACGTCCTTTCTGGTAAAGAAAGCGTTTCTTGGCTTATTTCTTTTTCAGAAAGGTATTACTTCGATCCGGCTTTCCGCCCAATGCGTTCCAAGGTCTGATCTATTTATAGCTAGTATTAGCTGCAAAGAGCCGTACAATATCATCGCCAAAATTGAACTTTAGGTTTGATCTATCATTTAAGGCCACAATGGGATGAACTTGGTGACAGTATCGAACAAGCTTACCGTCCTAGGTCTGGAAGCCTATTGAAAATCTGGTCGCATATCCTGCCTTCGGTCTTTGTATTAGGTTCGCTGAACTCTGCCCGAATTATACATAGTATGTATGCGTATGGGGACGCCGAATGGAAGGGGATGGGGAAGGAAGGATGCGCATGGATGGATGGATGGATGGATGGAAAACTAATCTTTATTCAGCTTGTTTTTTCAGAAGATCAAACAAGAAACTTTAAGACTTCTCGAAAAATCTTTCGTATTCATTTAGATAAGAAATATTATAACTAGAACATAAGCGATCTGTAGAAATTCTAGCGATTTTGTTCCTCTTCATGAGTGAGCTTTCCCTGACCTTTTACAGGAAGCCTTAAGTTAATAGAACCGTAAAGAACTGTGTCAATATATATAGAATAATCGACTATTATAAATAATTTTAGCACAATTTATATTTAGAACTTCCACGACTAAAACGGGCGGGGGGGTATATTTATCTATATTTAAAGAAAAGTCGCATGCGGCGGAGGAAAATGCAAATGCAACAAGCCGCAGTGATCCGGTAAACGAAAGTGAGAGCTCTTTCCAACAAAGTTCGCATGAAGTAGCTCCCCATAGAGGTCGCTCTAAAATATCACTAGTGTGTTTCTATCCATTTATCTTGTGATCATGTAAGTAATTCGTTATCTAGCACTTTTGCTTTGAACGCAGGCCGGTGTCTCAAGCGATTGTGACAGTGTTTGGATGCGCTCGATAAATAAGAGAACACCTAAGTATGCGAAACCCAAGAAGAAACTGCACTGCAACAAGGACATAGCCGTTGGTCCTTAAGCAGAGCTAAGTACAACGTTTCCAAATCTTTTTAATTATCTCAAGCCTATGATAGTATATGATAAAGGTGATATGTTTTTACCAGAAACTGGTATCGAAACACTCATTAGTAATAATAATAATAATAATCATTAGCACTTTTATTGCTATTATTACCATCACTATTATTTATAAATGCAAGTACGTACAAAACTTCGAGACGAGTGAGCCTCGCGAACATGGTTTGATCGAGATGCTTAATTAAATTGTGTTTCAGGTCCCTGTAAAAACAAGGAATTGTCATTAACAGTTAATATAATCTACAAACGCTACAAAGCTATAAGGGTTACGTCTAACGATGTTGTATTCATTCGTACCAGCTTGCGCCATTTTGTCTTTGTATTTGAAAAAAAAAACAACAATAGATCGTTTTTTTTTTTGCTTTTGACGCTTAAAGCAATAGCCAATCTACCTACATAAGAAGGGTGACAAACCTAATTTTAGGAAGCGTTATCCGTTTGCAGTTATTATCTCAGAAAATCACTATGCTTTGCAGTTTAGAATCAGACCGCTGCGGGTTTCAATAGAGTGGATGAAAATGCATGTGACATTATCACAGTCGATGACTTACAATAACCGAAGTGAATGAAGAGGAGCCGTCGAGGACAGCGTCTGTATATGGTTGTTCAGGAGCGACCTGGAAGAACCGATGAAATAATATGGGCGTAAAAGTGGTCATTATTTCCGGTAGATGCAAAAGCAGCCCGCGTCGTTTTTCCAAACGCAACACAAACCCTATCCATATGTGCTGCCAGCCTGTATCGCACATCGGCTCTTCCCAGTTCGATGCCTCACATACTCCCTATGTTACTTACCGTTCAGTGCTTATGGTCGAAATCCATACCATTCGCGTATCTAGTGATAGCTCTGTGCATACGTATGGACGGGGAAGTATGGATTAATTTAATGGAATTGCACCAACGGCGTCGAAGGAACAGACGAAGCAAGCATGCGAAAGACCTAAACGGATACTGGACAATCCGTATACTTTTATTTCGTATCCTTATTATGCCGCCGTCCAAGTGACATTGCTGTTTCTTGCTTTGGCATTGACTGGCTAGAATGACGAACTAAAGTCCTGCACGTGCCGCTGGGTGGCAGGTGGCTGCCAGCGTGCGCTGATCGATGAACTGTACGACAACTGTGCTCTGCTACTTACAATAAAGAAGCCTATCCGCGAAAAATGGCGAAAAAATAGATTTTTTTTTTTAAAAAGTGGGTCGAAGACGAAACAAAAATCGGCTAACAGTTACTAGCTAGTTGACAACTAACGTGCTTAGTCTATATCGCTAACGTGCGTACTCATGTATATTACTGGCTATTAGTGGGTAAAATGTGTGACGAAGGCCAGACAACACGCTGATATATTATCATAGAATTTCACAGACACCCCACGTTATTGTCTAAACCCTTCACCCTAGATCTAATTGGGAAAAAAACATTTGGGCAGTGTTATGCTATGGAAAAAGGCTACTAATGACAAACGCTAAACTATTGCCAAATAAATACTCACAATACCCCTAAATGCGGCATATGTGAAAGATGATTAAGGTTGAAACTATCCAATCGGTTTCCGGTTATACGCCTGGAAATACAAGTACGCCCAATTGTATTTTTCGAACTCAGGTTAAGCGAAATCGCTAAATTTTATTAAGACATCTGGCCGTGATGCCACAATACGATCAGATCGCGTCAAACGCCACTGCATACGGCCGTTAGTGACTGGTATGCCTGTCGAATTAACTCCTATGCTCATATGTACAAGTAAACCGTCACAATTATTTCTATGTATTTTACATTTTTGAGCCTGAGAAAACGAATCATTAATATGATAAAGTACTTACAAGACGTTTAGACGTCCCAAGCCGTTGAACACACCTGTTTGAAGTTTGGTGAGCTGTTTATTATTTGTAATGTACCTGAAATTGCAGATCCGATTAGAAAAATCTCAGCCCTGTAAAATAGACATTCTATATACTTGAAGCCTAAATAAAGGTCCTCTATTTAACCACACTTGTCACGTTATATACGCCAAGATAATGTTATAACCAATATGTAGCTAACTAGGTGGTCAGAGCCATCATAAGTGTAGAGCGCGGGAATAGACACAGGCATCTCCAAGTGATATATATATATATATATATATATATATATATATATGGTTGTTATACGCATAACGAAACGTCTATTACCATTCACTCTAGTAGATCTCCATATTCGAGGCATTTATTGAGATCTGTCGTATTTTTCGTATACAGACTATACAAAAACAAGGACGCTGAGATGTCAAGTGGCCCCGTCAAAAAAACGCGAGAAGTGGCCAAAGCAAACGAGGCTTAAAAAAAGTATCAAATACAACCGACATACAAATCGAAACGCACACAGGGTCGTCGCAATTGCGTATACAAACATTTTTTGTTCTATGCATAAAGTTATCATGCGAATTGGCGTTGCCTTCTGAAACTGTTTCCGCCGCCGTATACCCTCCAGTCGCTCTATGCCTTGAGTTTGCGGATTCGTTACGTATTCATTAGGATTCATAGGCCTAGGATCACATCGTGATTGTCACTATTGTCTTTTTCCAGGGTGCGGTATAGCCGTGTAACTTTCAGGAAACTGGTATTCTGTCAATAGCCTAAACGCAAAAGGACCCACTAGGGACATTTATTAATCTAAAAAGGCGAAATATTCAATAGAATCTGTTTCTCTTACGTGGAGTCTAAGGATATAGGTGGAAAATTCGAAAGCTTTCGTATCAGGCCGCTGCACTGAAGTGTACGGGGATTTTGGTATTGTAAAGCTGCTCTATCTCCAGGTGAAATAAAGAGTAAAATTTCGATAGCTCTACTTAAAATGATGGTACCGATATACTGAAACGATCGAACCCGAAACCTTAAGCTGAAAGCGTAAAAACGCTATGAAGATACGTGAAAACGAACAGGCCGAATTACTTTGTTCACTACGAAAAATCGAGTCTGACATTTGGTCCTATTGATGAGTAGGCGCAAAAATTGAACAATGGAAATGCTGGGGAATTTAAATGTTTGTTTAGCCGGTGTATCTTAAAGAAAGCCATAAAACTGTTTGGTACCGACCGCACTAACCCAGCTATTGGTTTAACAATGTCTTTAGCCATATTTTTTAAGCTACCTAATATTTTGAACTTGTTTCTAGGTGGGTTCTTAGAAGGGGTCAAAAATTACAGTCTAATGAATTCTACTCAAGCCTGTGTGAAGTAACAATAATAAAGAGTGGGCTTGCTTATACCCGTATATCTACCATTACCTATGCTTAACGATAGAACATTTAGGCACATTTTGCCAATTGGTATCTCAAGAGAGAAATCAAGCACATATTAAACAAAAAAAAAATTAGCCTATTCCCTTACAGTTGCATTCGATTCCACGGCAGGTTTTGCTTAGCGATTCTGGCAATCACCATACCATAGAACAGGAACAATTGAACATTAGCTAAACCTGGAGACGATCGTTGAAGTTGTGCTTCCGTAATGTTCGTATAATTTGAACGTTACGTCAAAACAGCAACATCTATTAAAATAAATTTTAAATACTTACAATTGTTTCAGGCGTCCCTGGCGCTCAAATGCGTCCGGAGTAATTCCGGATATGGAATTATTAAAGTACCTGCAAGAATCAAGAGTTTTACTGTTGGGATTCTAAGGAAATCATCGGAGCTCGTTTCACGTATGAGCGCCTTTGTCTACTAGCCCAGATGGACAGATGACCGATTGTTCACTCTTGGTACTACCATATGAGTTGGTCTCTTAGGCCGGCGAAGAGGTAATTAGACAATTCATTTGTGAGATTAAAGTCTTGCATTGTTGATTTCATATTACCATTTCACGCATTACCAGAATAATTTCGAAAAAATTTATGAATGTTATTTGTTCAATTTTTCGTATTTTATCGCAGAATTATCAATAACACCGCTAATCTAAAAACTGTTATCATTTTCAAAGTATTCATATAGAGATAAAGCAAATAATCGCTAACAGTCCGATGATTTCCCTAATTAATGTGCCTCTATTCTGGTCGATACGACGAACTACAAACTAAGTAGGACCATATCATAAATTAGTTATTTATTTTTATTTATTCACCTATTAGCACATGATCTTAATTGGATTCGCACAATTTATACAGGCCAAATATCGAACAGCTGCGTTCGTCATGATGTGGCCTTGTGGAGGCCATCTTGTGGGAAATGTCAATGCAAGATGGCTTTATGCCTAGAAAGGCACCAGCCAGACCAATACTAGACAATCTATCTAGGAAGGCTGAGTTACAACTACGCTATCATACGTTCAATGTTAACAGGCCATGTCGATAATTACTATTTGTCCTATCTAAACTCATGTGTGTGATGATGTTTTATCATGCGTAACTATAGGAAAAACGTGAAAAAAAGTACGACAAAATTCGAAGGTCGTCTATCATGCCTGAAAGTAGAGCTAAAGCACAGATACATACTTTCGCTAATAATGAAATAATTACTAAATCTGAAATAGGACAAAAAATGGTTTCGTTACTGTTACACTTCAATAGGCAGTTTTTCGCTAGCGCTGATTTGTCCGTTAGTAGTAGTAGTAAATAATCGATTTGGCCTTATCTTATACCAAGTATTTTGCATAAAAGAGGATATTATGTTAGAGATTCACTATTTAATATGTTGCATGATAATAGTAGTGGGTGTTTTTTTTCATCATGTTTTTTAAATGGAAAAAAAATTAAAATCATCGTTAATATCCAATTACCAAATACTAATTTTTTTAGCTATTTCGAATTTCCTAATTACTTACAGAATCGTGATATTGATGAAGCCCCACAATGTGTCAGGTGTGATGACTCCGAAGTTGCTGTCCTGGATGACACTAATATTTTAAGATAATAAACATGGTATTATTGGAACAAACGCGCCGAACACTAAACATAGTGTTATTTAACTTGAAATCTGTGTTAAAAACACTCAAACGAGTTTATCTTTGTTTGTGTACAGACGTGCCAGTCATCTGTCATCTCTGTCTAAACAGTGTTTCTAGCGACACCCGGGCGCACACATGCGGAGACTCGACACGAACCTCCTCACCGTGTTTTTAGCAATGGCACCCGTTAAACCTCTGTCGGAGTTTGTCTACCCATGCACTGTCCCTTGTTTAGCTACTTCTGCTCTCGATTTTTGTCTTGAAGTGTGCACAAACGTGTCAGTACCCGAGTCACTGCACCTCTATTTGCTGATGCTATGAATATAGTTTTATTACTATTATCGCTACAAAGACAAATAGTCCTACTCGTATGACTGTTAGGAATATATTAACACGAAAAAACAGTCGAGCACATTTGTACTGATAAAGATAATCGCCTTATTTTGAAATTGCAACTATTGCTAGCAAGATGGGTATTATCGAAGGGCATAATAAATCGGCCAATCGCTTCGGTTTTATTGTTTCACTCCATCAACATATGTTGCATAGGACCTTTGTAACCTCACGTGTTTTCGTCAATACTCACAGCCGTGTGACAAGCGGATAGGACGCATTATTGAATAGGCCGTTGGACGAGTCCACCCTGTCGCAGCGCACGAACTGGTACGCGCTTTCGTGTTTACAATAGCACCCTTCAGGAAGGTCCACCGTTGGGCCGCACATCGGAACCTGACAAGAAATGGGTCGGTCAAATGGATATCTATTAAGGCTGTCCGCGGTTCATTATCTCTCGAACTGGATCATGCGCAAAATGACAACCATTAATTCATACTTGCGTGCAGGGACTTGCTTATTCTAAGGAGAATATATCAATGGATGAACAAAGATACATCCTTTATATATTCTCGACTGTCTTTTATGGCTGCTAATTACCATAAAAAAGGTACGTTTTTTCTGTTACGAAATAGATTCGATTCCAGTTGCTCGTCACCACACAATCAATGCATCCTGTCAACGCTAAATATTCAATGCTTGAGATTGTTTAGTTCACTGAGGGACTTCGGCAAACCACTTCGGCCCAGAAGAGCATATTGTTACGCTTCAGCAATACTGTCAACAATACTTGAATCATATTTTAAGCTTATCAACGCGAGGCTATAAAACTTTAACAGTTTGAAGGTACCCGTAAGAAAAATTGCCGTAAGAAAGGCTGTGCCTATCTTAATTGCAACCTCCCGTGAAACTGCGGGGCCCGAATTCTATAAGTGAATTCTCCGAGAGACCGAACCTTATGGCGCAGGAACGTAATAGCCTTTTTCCATAGTGATGTGGGGTTCCTACGACAAACTGCCTGTCAATATAAGAGGACAACTATTTTTATGCGAGAAAGTTGTTAATATGATTTTTGCAATCGTTCATTTTTTAATATTGTTTATTACGGTTGCGCTCAACAACGAGAAGGCATGGTCTAGTGAATCGGCTTTAACTGTTCTCACAGACTCTTTGGAAACATCTATCATTTCCAGAATTATGGTGACATTGAATTTACAATAGTATATTCAGACCTGGATATGCTATCCAAAAGTCGAAGTAAAAGTTTTAATGGTACAATGCCGTTTTAATACAGTGGTCATAGGTTATATTATACGAAACGATAGTACCTAACTATACTAACTAAATACGACCACGCGGTATAGTCCGAATATTCCGATTGGAGCTTTCGACAAGTTCTTGCAGAATTTTCCAAGTAACATATTCAGACACTGTTATCTTACATGACTTTTCTGTTAGGGTCGTTCACTCCTATTCTAAAAACGTTCCGTTACAAGTTGTAAATGGCCTCGAACACTTGTCCGATTCTGCGGATTAACCCTTAAGCCGAACAATAGATTGCCAAAGTGCTTGTAAAAAGTTTAACGAACCTCTGCCTGTGTAACTTGTACAAGTAACTATGGGTACACCTATCGTGTGATTTTCAGTAAGCTGTTATGTCTGTTTCTTCTATTCCTCTCATCGCGCTCGTAGATGAGAGTGGCCAATTTCCTTGCACAGCAACATGATAATCCCAAAACTTGCTACTGGCGTTTCTCTATAGAACAGCCATGTTTGGTGAACTCGGCCCGAATAAATTAAGACCAATTGAGCGATTGTTGTTTATGATTGTTTTCTCATGCCGCGAGCATTACCTGTGTGCTGCCCTCATATTCGGTGCGGGCCTTCGTCGACTGCGATTTCCAGTCGAACTTCACGACATGACCAAACGAGATGATGCCTTTGCTAATGTCACCTAAATATCAATAATCGAAAATAAACAGTCGATATTTAAATGATGATCTATACACGTGAGTTATCATGCTGAGTCGTACCTGATCCCTACATATTGGCGACACCCTGTACACCATAACCTAGCGACACCGATTGTTTATCACGACTTTTATATAGATACAAGTATAATATTGTTCTACCATCTATAAGCGTATGCACAGAAAAAGGAAATCAATCCGCGCTGAACGAAGTTCACGCGCGCATCGTGATCTCAGACCAACGCACCAGCGATCCTAATGCTTCACAACCCCAAAATAAGGAGTTTTCATTCACGACAAGCTATTTTACTCTTGAAACAACAAAGGCTAAAATACTGGCGACTTTTGCAGAAATACAGCATAAATAAAATCCAGGGTTAGACACTTGCGAGTTCCCTATGAATCTACCGCAATGTGTAACGGCATGCAGAAATAGCCCTGTCTCATCCTTCCTTCGTCGTAGTTGATGAACTTCGCGGAGCGTCCCATTCATTGAGATTACCGCGTTAGTAGACTTCCTCGTTGATCGTTTACCCCAACGATTAGCGTTTTTCTCAACTACTGATCAATTTTTCACTTCCGAGAGACCTAGATTGCTATGTTTGCAGTTTATAAAGATACCTTCGGCCCACCGACTTGTCATAATTAGGTCCACTCCTCAAGGAGAACGACCCGCCGCCACCCAGTTTCCCGAGGACAACTAACGTCATGCCGCATAAAAACATGAGCGGATGGTCTCTGTGCCATTTTTGTCCGGATGTTTGTCGTTCACTTCCCTCCTATTTTCTATTAAGGACCCAAATGTCTGATCGCTTGCGAAATCTTGGTCATTGCACCTGGACGTCATCAGGGAGCTGAATAACCGGTCGCATGGCTACCTAGACAGCCTAAAAAGCTTTCAGCCTAGCACTGAAACACGCCATTTTTAGGCGAAGTACTATTTTATTTCTTAACATGATTACTTGTAGGTCTACACGTTTTGCTCAGTGATGCTCTGATCTGCTTAATCGGTCCAAATAGCATATGATGGCCTTTTGACCTTGCAAATAGGCGTTTACGAATGTGATGGCCCACAGATTCGATGTCTGTCCTAGAAACAAGTCTAGAAAATAGGAAGAAGGTCGCTGAGAGCCGGATTAAGTGAATGCTGTGGGAAGTTAATTGATTCAAGTCTCTTTTCGTGAATTTCTTCCACGTGGCCGTACCGTTGACGAACGTTTAACTTGTTCACGTCGAGATTTTCAGTTAAGTAATGAGATGCTCACAGCCTCTGCAGTCCCTCTAATCTTAATTCAACGGCCGTCTGGTAGCATTTAGTGAACTTTCCCTGAGTTCTTGTGGTGATTGCAGTTTTCGCCGGCCTACATATTCACGATCTGTCACGCTTAATTGCTATCGCTAAAAATTTCACGGTGTTAACGGTGGTGCAAAGTTCTCGTAAACGCTGTTTTATTTGAACTGAATGACGGCTAATTGTTAATATTTTTGGCTTTTTTTTTTTTTATCGAAACACTAATACCGAACGACATCAGGTTATGAAAACATAACTCAACGTTGGCTGAAATTTTCAACGTATGCACAACTATCAATAACCAGAATTTTTCTGACGAACAACGCCATCTTCATGTTGAGGCTGGAAACTTTTTAATTTACGTATCTAAATGATGCTGGCCCTCCTCTTAAATTAGGAAACTATTTTGCATTAGTCCGGAACATCGTTCACGCAAAAAGCTCCGTGTCCGAATTGAAGGGTTCAATTATCATTGCCGATGCACACAGGCTTTTTTTATTTACTTTTGTTGAAACGATGAAATCTGCCAACACTAATATCAATGAATTGAAATACTCATCATTTGAGCTTGTTTTGAAAATTGGGTCGGCCTTTATTCTCTGGCTTTTTACTATCTACTAACATTAAAGTATCATTATAAATATAATGAGATGTAAGCCTGTCTATACCCATTTTGTACCGTTAGTAAATTATACAATATCGTTCCCTGTTTCGAGTGTATCCAGCAAGACGAAATGACCCGCGTCAAGCTCACGGACGTACGCATACTGTGGACGGACAAACGGCGAGTAACAGTGACGAGATTTGAGGGTGAATACAGTTTAATGGCCGAAGTCTATGTATGGATGTAGTATAGATATGGTCAGGAAAAAGGCAAACTTTCTGGCTTCAAGTGAGCAGATAGGTTAGCAGCTGTCCCCGTAAGGATAACTTGGTGGGTAATATATTTGTCTGCTAATCCGGACACGGTCTGTTTCGTGCTGGAAGCCAGTCGTCTGTCTGACGGAATGCCCACCGGCGCTACTGGACGTAAAACTCGAAACGCAGAGAGATGGATTAGTAGCGGAGAGATTGAAACTGTGTCACGGGTTGAAAACAGATAGGGTGGAACAATAGAAGGAGGAATCGATTACGCTGTAGCGGGACACTCAAAGATTTGTATTGAAGAAAAATCTCAGGCGGGATTTGGAACAAGAGTTTGACTCGAGAACGGTGACTCAGATAAAAAGGGTGCAGGAGATAGTTAAACGAGATAAAGAATAAACCAGGCGGATAAATACGTTCAATTAGGGGGAGAGATATGGCTAAACACTTATCCATAAACTTAAAAAAAAAACACGTATTGCTGTATTCTTATCCCTAATAGTATGCATATGGCAGCAATCAAATTCCACTGACACAGGTTCCCTTTAAGGATTAAGTAGTACATTTAAAAAAAAAAACTCTTATGAGGAAAAATAATTAACTACAAATATTCGAGTTGAAAGTAGTAATACCATGCTTGTTCATGTTATCGGTGCAAAACAAAAGTTATCAAGGGAGTAATTGTATAATTGCTTCCCGGATATCAGGTAATGTCGGTTATATACGTAACTTCGTGAATCTACGGGAATTTGCTTCCTGTAAATCGAGCTTAGGCAAGCTCGTTGACAGGCGTCAGTGGGAAGCGTTGTGCGCCGACCGAATGAAACTGCCCACATTCTCCTGCTTGCCTCAAGTGGTCCGTAAGAGGATGCTGATGATGCTGCCTAGCGGGCATTCCACTGGATGCCAAGGGTCTGCACGCGTAAACATACCGGCGTTTTCACTTATTGTCATTACCAAAGAATATATTCTCTGAAACGTTCCGCGCTCGTTTATAAAAGATATAATAGTAGAATGGTCGCCATTATACGACTTATGACAAACAGATCAGCAAGCGTCGTAACTGGTTGACAGCGTCTAGCTACCATCACCTACTAGTCGAGTGCCTGTGACTACATACGAACGACCCGACCAAGCCACTTTTCTCCACTCAGCTTTGCCCGACTGAAGCGTACCGAAGCGCCCTCAGTACCGAAGGCAATTCAGTATAACCGTTGCCTCCGAACTCTGCCACTAACGGCTGTGGAAACGTTAACAAAAAAAAAATTTCCTTCTGCTACTTTTCTGCTGTGCAGCAATGCATTTTTGGACCGGTCTCACTCTGATGCGATTTTGATATTTGCCTATTCAATGACTATTATCTGAATAATCTTAATAATTTTATGTCTTTGGATTTTCCTGTAGTGTCTCATCATAATTGATAAAAACATTGACGTATATGATATTATCAGGCAACATTATACTAGATTCGTTCATATTCACGTAAAGACCGTGGCGCACAAGTACTCTTAGCATGTTAAACGATCACAGCTTCGTCGGTCACTTCATCCCACCGACCTGTTATAGTTAAGGCAACGTGGCTCTGAACTCAGGGTAGCTAAGGCGGCGCCTCAAGGACTAATGCGTTTGTATGACATAATAATAATAATTACTGCAGTGGCATATAAAAAGAACGTCGCGCGTTCAAGATAAGGCAAATTTTCCTTCTTAACAGGTGACCTAGAAAACTGTCCCTACTCAAAATGTGTACTAGTTCGGTTATCACCTTTTCCATAGGTTCATTCATATATTTCTCCTTTTTATTTTTGCTTCTCAAGGGATTACGTTAGCCCTAGAAAACGTTCTGGATACTTAACAATTTAACTCGAGCTCATCGATCTAACTACATCACACTTTGGCTCGTACAAAATCTCAATAAACCAATGAGGTAACGTATTTTTTTTATATATTTTTAATACACAACTATAATTCTTCAATCATTTTCATAATATATTTAGAAGAAAGAAACGTTTATGGGCGTAAGCTGTACTTATGCGAATAAGGGATCCCGCTCTTACCGTAAAATCAATATAAATCATACTAAAATTCTTAGCAAAACAAAAAATGACAGAGTGGCTGGTTCGTGATATACCTTATTAAAAAGTCGTTGGAGTGAAAGTAGGATTGTACCTAGAAATCAGTTATTTTCAGACCTTTAACAGACTAGACACTATAATGCAATGACCGGAACATTTTGTTATAGGCGCTAAAGGTAATTGCATGCCGTCTGATAGATACGACAGTCGAGCTAACATTTCTCGAGGGCAAAAAAAGTGAGTTCTGCTAGCAACAATGTAGATTTTTTTTACTGCTGAGAGCTATTAGACTGCCCGTTGAGCCACCCACGTCGACTAGACGGAACGTTGTTAAAAGAGCGTGAGCATCTTGTGATGCCACCTAAACGCTCGTTGAGTTATAGGCAAAAAAAAAAGTAACGAATATTTCTGTTTTCTACATGCTAAGTCTGAACGGGATTGCTTTGAAGGTAGCTAAGAAGCCTCTTCAGTGAACATGCTAAGAATAACGTGATAAGTTCTTTGCATCGCACTAATAAAGAAGACAGCGTCATGTCCGCTATGTGTTTTCCACCTTCGACCCAGACGATATAAACATGCATCACAGAACGCATCAGGAACAGATCCCTGTAGAGGACCGTACAAACCGAGTTGTCATAGTTGCAGTATCTATTGGAAAAAAAAACAGAAGAGCAGTCCTACAGCTAATTTAAGCATGGTGTAGTCTACCTATGACAAAGTGATATTTCGTGTACAACGTTTAGAAACAAATGCCAGTTTCTCTTGTGCTGTTAGCTTTCAACAAGCTACATACTTTTTAAAGTTCAACTCGACGAGTTTGGCAATGCTTCGATGGAAGCACCATAAAACAAATTGTCGTAGATATTATAGAGGACATGAGCGGCCAATATTTAAGCAGCTATCGCGAAACTATAACAGAACTGGTTCGGGCTGTCGTCGACGTCACCTTCGTTCCGAGAGCACCGCCTTCCGCGCAACTCCTATCGCGCCTTGTTCGGGTTGCCAAGGCCGACACGAATAACATAGAAAGTTACACGCCAAACGCCACGATCACACAGTGTTTCGCTATATTCGACATAGTCCGAGGTAGTCTCGTCCGCCGGTTATTCGACCCACTTACAAGCTAGAATGGGCCAACTCTACCGCTGGAAACTTTAATATATCAGGCGGCCTAAGACAATACTCCAGAGCAGGAATTCTCGAGAAGGCTTCTTCTCACCTAGAGTGGCCAATACAGCGAACGACTATGGTGTCTCCCTGTAAATGCAAAATTTAACCCTTAAATAAATGCATCTTCTTTTTTTAATATGTATTTAAACACGTCGTTACAGCGAACTTTTGTTGTTCAGATGTGAATCTACCCAAAATTAGGTTGGGCACCGGCATGTTTTGGTACAATTTGTAATTTCGCCCTTAATCTGCTGCTAAAAATTATAGCAGATACTCTTGAAGACGACCTTTTGGTGATGGCCTTACGCACGCCGCAAGCCTGACGTGTCAAAGCACAATGCCGACAATAGCAACTTAGGTAGGTAACTGGTGTGTTCTTTGGGATGACGTCTTGTTGCTTACGTTAACTGGACGTCTACCGTCTAGTTTATTAAAGAAAAAAACTATCTATATACGTGCAAGTCACTATCGCAGGATAAAAGCGGTAAAAGCAAACAAGGAAAAACTATTTTAATGGCAAGAGCTCTGATTCTTGAGATTCTGTCATCCCAAAAGAGCTACAGAACGAATTATCTGAGGAAATGTTAAAAGAACTATTCGAATTTTGTATTCGAGATTTACCGTATGTTCAGATTGGGGTCGTTTAAGCTGCAAAGAAAGATATGATCATATGATTTTTCCTTTTGCAAATATGGATCATATTGATTAGAATTTTAAAGTCGACCCGTTACTTATGATCTAGGGTTGTTTGCGAGAAGGATCAGTCGTTTGAGCTTTCCTCCCGTTTACACGACCTACTGCGAAGATTTTTAGATTATATTATCATACTATAGCTGAGTAATTAAGTTAAGAGAAATATTACTATTTATGTCTGCCGTGCTTTTTATGCAGCAAGCTAAACTTAAGTTAATAGAGGCTTGTGAATCAAACTCAAGATGTTAATACAGTAACAGCAAGCGTTTAATCTTCCATTATAGCAATTCGACTCTACGCGGAACTAATACGTTTCAAGTTATCGAACACTCAGCTTGAGGAATTATACTACTACAGGTAGCTCAACTACATTAGTCTTTTGTGTTTACGACCATCGTTTTTCCAATCTACCCGAAGCGGAAGCACCTGCAACGGTTGTGGCTCTAAGTGATTGCGTCTGGATTGCTTGTATAGGCACGCGGCTGACGTTTATGTCGACCCGATCTTAATTTGTACCCGGTACTTTGTATCTCTGTACCCGGACTGTGTAGAAATGTCAGTTGACTGAGGCTTGTTATCTGTGTTCGTCTAACTTACTGCAAGCTTTTTCATCCTCGCCGTTGGCGCAATCCTCGTGCCCGTTGCAGTGTAGTTCCCGTGGGATGCAGGTGGTCGAATTGCCGCAGGGGAAGTGCGAAGGCTGGCAGATAACCCGTGGGTGCTGTCCCGACGGACCAGAAGAGTCGTCGACTGGAGGGGCTGTGCAGGTGTGCAGATGTATATGCACAGAAGAGAGGCATCCATTGGAGTATAGATCAAGAACGACACAGAAAAATAGAAAGAGACAATATAGAGTGTAACCAAAGGCGAAAACAAAAATGAGACAAAATAGAAATCGTTGTCAATAATTATAATAATAATAATAATAATAAAAATGTCAATGATTGTCTACGGTTATAAGTGCTCCTATACTGTGATTCTTCTCTAAAGTGTAACTGCACAATAATCCAAAGTAAATATCCGTATATAAATTAATGGTGATTCCTAGTCAACACTTACAACAATACAAAACAACGCTTTTTCGCGTTCAAATCCACCGCATTATATATCAGTTACCACTTAGCATTGAAGGAATACTTCATGAAAATTCTGGCTGAGTTTCGGCCACATTTTTTCAAACAAGATAAAGGAGTGAAGCGCCGTTTCCGACTGTAAAAAATCAGCGTGCACCTTGATCATTGTTGTATGTAATATCGAAGGGCAAAGTGTCGCTTATCTAGACACACAATATTGAAGTCATTTTTTTCTACAGGTATTACTTACGATCTCTCGTGGAACCTGCTGTATATTCTATCAAAATTATCCGCATCTAGCTTAAACGTCGTGTACTTCCTAGAACCCTAACCTATTCTAGATGCATTATTATCAGCTTAATAGAGGAATACGAGACCTGTTGAACAGTTTAGTAGCCTTACTTTCTCTAAAACAAGTGCTTCGCTTCGTAATTACTTCGTTTCGCAAAGGTTTCGTAAAGAAATCTATCAGCCCCTTATTGTTCCTTCCTGCGTTTAATTTGGTGTATAATAAATACAAAAGGGTCAAGTTAATTTTTTTCAGCCTGACTTCAAGCAGATCTCACCGTCGGTCCTTTTTTTTCCTACCTCCCTAGTTGGTTTTCTTCACCATTCATAGCTTTGTCACAACTTCGAAAATTTGCCGCGAGATCGGCCCGGGACTTAACAGAGTTGCTTGGTCGTTGTCAGAAAGCTAATCGAGGGTAACGCCGCTAACAACGAAGCCGAAGCAACAACAGCAGATGCATAGGCGGCAGCAGCAGTTGTTCTGCAGTAGCGGCTTAAGGCTTGTCTGCATGTCACTCACCGTAACCGGACTTCTACGCGACACGTGAGCAGACGACAACGACGCCAGCATCGGCAGCGTCAACGAGATGCACAGGAACAAGATAATGGATCGCGACGATTCATCTTGTCCCTCTGGGCTGTGAAAACTGTTTTTTTTCAGAGCGGTGCGACAATTGTACAACCACCGAGATGTTTGTCCCAGCAGTGTAGTACTTTTCCTGGATTGCTGGACCGACCGACCGACTGACTCGTCGGGTGTCTACCGGTTAGGCGATGCGTGCTGCGTGCTGTGACGAAGTCGTAGTTGAAAACGTCGGTGGCGAAGCACCGACAACTCCGTCTAGCCCGACCGGCTGTTATTGCAAAAGATATACTCCCGTTATAGTTAGCGAGGTCAGCTACTGACTAGTCATCCAACCGGCGGACCGATTAGACAGCAGCATCTAAAAGCAAGCAACTCTTTCATTGACCCCAGTGTCTTTCCACCGACTAGAGGTAATCGTATACTGATCAATTTGTTTTGGCATCAAGAGAGCGGCGGTGCAGCCCGCAGCCTGCGAGAGGGACAAGGCGAAAGCGAGAAAGGACAAGCGGTCTGCACAGCTTCTGGCAAAGCACGAACTACAAATGACGGAGTGACATTGGGCAAAGGCTAGGTGGGCCAAACAAGTCTGTAGCAGGCAGACGGCGCGCTTGAAGGATAGTGGAAGACAGGTATAAATAACGACGGTGAAGTAAGCAACCAGGCGTTTTGCAGGTGGCAACAGCTGCTCACTGATGCTGAATTGCGCGAAAAGGCCTGAGCGTCTCTGACTATCTTTGGCAACGCTCTAAAAACGGTAGGAAGACGCACGTTGCTGCTAGATATTGACAATATTGACGAGTGCATCGTCATGAAAATGGTTTAGGTGAGATGAGCGAAATATTGGAAAACTCGCGACAACAGGAAGACCCTTCTTCTATTGATAAACAACGGTTAGGAGTGAGTGCACATAAAATGACAGCGTGTCGACCTATATTGCTGCTCTGGCCAATAGTACGACCTGTCAGGAACGTCTGTCTGTACGCAGCGACTAATTAGTATCGTGGAACTGTGTTTGCGATTAAGTAACGCTTAAATTACGGAAAGAAAGAAGAACAGTGGTGGATATAAGAAAAAATAACGTTAGGCCGATACCGAACATACACTTAAGGTTCTTTTGAAATGTATCGACTATACGTAGCATCAGCATATGAAAAATTTGCATACGGAAATGATTTCCTTTTAGATTTATATCTAAACTGAAACTCGCCCCTAAAAACAAAAGAGCTACGAACGTAACTAATGGCTCCAAAATGTCTTGGCTTATTATATCCACTATGCTAAATATTAGCAGGAATTGTTTTGGCCTTTTAATCAATTCACTGATGTAGTATATTCCATGTGATAATTTCGAAAAACCATCGACCGCATAGCCTTCCGGCAAGCGGGAATTTTCATTCACTTACCTACTAAAAATTTACCATACAATTTTCAATATTAACTAGTCTATAGGGTATTAAAGGAAAAACAAAAAATAAATACTCGTGTTACTCGTAATGCTTTTTAGCTGTTCATATGTGAAAATTAATAATTTCGTGATAGTCAATAGTTTTTTCGATAATGTTCCTTCGTTGTTGAAAGGAACAAAAATGCTAAACTAAAGCCTATAGACCAGGTTCGAACGGGCGAATCACCTGCATCATTTCCCGGAAGCAAACGAGCCCTGCTTTGCGGTCGGACCGTTTATAAATCCTTTTAATTTCTAATCCGTTGATCGATGACGACCCTGGAGCTTTCGGCTAACCTAATAATCTCTATCCAATCAGTTGCTCTTTCTGATCTGACCCAACCAACAAAGCTTTCCTTCGAAGCACACAATCTCTATAACAAACGAAGAGTATCTGCCACTGCCGAGTCGCTAGTTCCGAACATACTCACGCCTAGCCACGAATAACTGAAGTTCTCATGACGCTAAAGTTATCTCCTCTTTATGATCTTTTTCTATTAGAGATGATGTATGCGAATGACCTTTACCGGTGTGCTGAAATAACACGATGAAGCTAGGTGAATACCGGTGCTTCAAGTTGATTGACGTAGTCTGAACGAATTTGTAAAGAAAATCAATACCAAGCTAGTTTCACGCTTAATCGTGTGCGTTTTCTGTTTTGAATGATGCTGTTATGGGGCGCTCATTGTACACACAAAAAACCTACAGGCCGTAATCACAGGTAAAAATGATCTACTATGTTATCTGTTACGGAAGAAAACGCTCGCTAAGACGCTGGTCAAAGACGTTGCGTAAAGCTATCTTTTGTGATTAGCTTCTGGTTTAGGTTGTAAAAGCCTAGTGCAATGAGAAGAACTGTCTACGTTAACTATAAAATATGTTAGCTTTGGCATATATGTTATCAGCATAAATATATAGAAATAAGTGACTCATATATA